GAATTTTTTTGCAGGATTAAAAGAACTGAAAATCTTGACTCCCCGGAAATGACTGTTTTCGTTTTTGCATGGTTGGCTGGCTCTATTACAGTTTGCAATAAATTCTGTTTAATTTTTATGACTCATATGTATGTCTCAATTTTTTGTAAGGTTTGATTACAAACTTGTTTCTTGATTATGAAATGCATAAGTTAATAAAATTCTTGCTAAATCAATGTGAAAAATGTGTGTAAAGTTATTGGAATTTGAGTTTTAATTGAATTTTAGCAGTGAATAAAAGTCTGCACGTGTCAATCACTGTTTTATCATTATTTTAGCACGGTTTGATCTTTTCTTGATCCGACAGACCCATCATTAACTATAAGATTCCTCGTATTCTCGTTTCCTCTTCACGTTCATAATTCCAGGAAATGATGGAAATCTCGAGACCTTGAACTCTTGTTGTTCTCTTCAACCAGTGCATTTTTCGAAGAAAGAATGGCTCCCTGAAAGGAGGGAAATCTGTAAGAATTCTCAATAACCGACCAGACCACGCCGCTGAAAAGCACGCTATTTCATGTCATGAAATCTTCATCGGTGCCTCCTGCCCAATAATCCAGTCCAGTCACAAAAGTAGCGTGGCACCGCGTTGCATTTCATATAAGAAGACGGAGAGGAAAACAGAAGGAGGCAAATAAAGAAAGAATAGTAGGAACCCTTGAAATTGAACCTTCAGGGAAGAAATATGGTCCGTTTGGATGTGGTAGCTGGCAATCTTGGACTTTGTAACAGGTCAGGTTTTCCAGGATGAAGATGAGATTTTCAGATTTGCACGCTTAAAAATTTTGGAATAGATTTGTACCGAGGAATTGTGTAACGACCATGGATTTGGTAATATTTTACCAAAAAATACAAGATTGGTATAAATTTGGTAATACTTTGTTCTAAATTTTCATGTGCTTTGTTAGCAATTGTTTTGTTTTTACCAATTTGGTAATATTTTACTGGTGAATGATAACTCTCTAAGACGGTGGGATCAATTAGTCTTACCAATTTGGTAATGCTCTCGTTTTACTAATTTGATGATCACAAGTACATAAATAGTTATTACCAATTTGGTAGCAAACTGATCATAAAATTTTATTACCACATTTTAAAGAGTGAAATGCACTTATTCTCGTTATATTTCTCACACGATATTACCAACACCATCCGTAAACAAGTTGGATGCCTGCCTCACTTTGCTCTTCCTTCACATTTCCTATTTCATTTTCCTCTCCGTATTTGTTCAGGTCCTCTTGGAAAAAAAGCCTGTAAAGATGAGATCTCCAAAGCAAAGTGAACTTTAAGGGCTCGCCAGCCACCAACCAACTCAAGGCCAATATTCACTCTCCAGGACAATAAACAAGTGAAATAAGGCACCTTCTTCTGCTGCTTCTGAAAACAGGCCTCTAATGAATCGGATACTTAAAATTTTTTAAGAAATATAAAAATGATCTTATAGTCTGGTAGAGAATGTCATGTCATTAGTTACAGGATACCGTGGTCGATTTAGAAGTAAAAATTTACCCAAAATTAATTTTCATAAATTTTACATGATACAACGAAATTTCAGAAATTTTCCACATAAATTCAGCAATCTGGTAACTTCTATAACTATCAATGCTCAAACTTTTTCGGTGAAATACGATATTCAAGTGGTAAAAAATTTCAAATTAACCAGTCTCGACTTCCAATCTTAAATGAACTTTCAAAATTAGAAATACACTTTTAAAAATCGTTAACGGCATTTAGAGAGTCAAAACACAGCAAACATCATTTCAATAATTGCATAAATTCTTTTTACGTATTATCATTTATTATTCAATTTATTTCAACGACATACAAAAATGCCAAATAATTATCTAACGAAGAATTCATAATCGGATTATTTCCATCTATGATTTTCATCCAAAATAAAAACGTTTAGTAAAATTTTGATTTTGTAAATTCTCCAAAAATTTAACCTTTCCAGTCCCAACAATTTCCCATTCTTGTCATCAACTGTACCGAATTACATTCCAAAACTTGTAAATATATCCGAATCACGGGAAATACCCGGGCATTCTACAGCAGTCAGCTACTTTCGCCACGTACTTACTCCCATATTTGCCCAACATTACATTTCGCTTTGTTTTGGTGGGGTTGGTCTGGTCCCCCTACCCGACTTTTTCCTTTCGGTGAGTCATCCCGAAATCCACCCTAGTACCCGGGAACAAAACACCCGGGGAAAGAAGGAAGGGTGGTGAGCAACCACTTGCTTGTTGTGTATTTTCATTTTCTCGATGGGAAAGTACGTGAATGAATCACGATAAAATTCCCCAGCGGCACAAATATCATGCTACTCACTCTACTCTCCTGCCTGGATGTATGGACTTGTCGGGTCGGTGGGTAGACTAAATCGAGGAGACAGACACTCCATCCATCCAGGAATAAAAGAGAGATTGAAGGGGGACCAATTTATTTGTGCAGGGTTTCCACGATATACAGGAAATTAAGTTTTATGCAATTGTGGTTTTTGAACGACTTGGACGTCAGTTTTTTTAATAATAATTCAAATATCAAATTTTAAAGTTTTGAGGTGTCTTAACTCTTCTATAGTCGCTTACTTGTGAATAACTTTTCAAAAATTACAAATATGATTTGTAATTTTCAGCTATGCATGAATATAAATAAGTAATACGGAATATTGAATTCTGTATTTTTATTTTGTCTAAAAAACAATTGAAATTATATTTACTTGCATGATTTCTACATTTATTTCATAGTTTTTAAATTTTGTACTTAACTCACAAGTTACAAATTAAATAGATTTACAAATATAGGTTCCTCTTTATTCAGTGTGAATAATTTGTTATTACTAGAAAAGTAGATAATGAACTTTACAAATTCGTCGTGATTTCTGATCGGAGAATGTTTACCTAAAGTTTAGTTTAACAAATTAAATTAAATTATTCATACATTAACATCGGCGTAGAACATTCCCAATTTAGTCCACGAGTTGGAGAAAGTGCGGCGTAACATTTTTCCTTTCTCGATTTTGTTACATTCGTAGCTAAAAGTATTTCAAATAACGAAACCCTACCACTTTTTAGCAATCGAGCCTTACTCTATAACAGTGGGGTAGGTTTTGGAGTGTATATTTTATTCGGGAAACGATACATACATGTACAGCGGCACTCTATGTTGTACATCACATCTGTATGTATGTATCTACACCGAGTAAAAGTGAATTTCTAGCCGTGTGTCATGTCATGTCAAGTCTTCTTACACGTTCATTCTATCCGCTGGATTTTTATTTTACTGATTTGATCCATATTTACAACTTTCCAACACAACCTGAAAATCTTGGATAGTTGGATTAGCATAAGAAGCAATGAAGTCAGAAATGAATGAGAGAAATTACACTGTTAATTCTTATTATGTAGCAGCAATCTCAGTAGAATACTTTATTTTTCAATTTAATTAATTTTAGCACAAAAATTTGCACCTTTATATAATTATACGACAACGACTACTCTAGACTAGTAGATCAACTACAATGAATTAATATATTTATTAACAAATTGTACGATTTACATTCCAATAAATTCGGAGATTTGATAAATTAAACTTTCCTCAGGTTTCTTGAGGATTAGGCCACAATATGGTATCTAAGCGCTCAAATTCCATTAAATTTTCCAACTTTTCCAGCCAAAAATTTCAAAATATTTTTAACTAAACACATACATACATACACATTGCTGTAAAATTATTTTTAGATACATAGAACTAAAAATCGGGACTAAACTAGGCTCTACTACTCGTAAACGATTTCTTATCCAATTGTCTACGAAAATCATATGTTGTACATATCATCAAGTAGAAAATCGTTACCAAAGCGGTAAAAGAATTTCATAAACATGTAGTTCATGATCATTCTGTTCGGTGACAATTTTGTTACCAGCATATTTTGTAAGGCATCACTAAACTAGGTCGTCGTCGTCGTCGATGCTGGTTCCCTCCCTTCGCATATTCCGGTAGCTGGATGAAAAAGGGGTCGCGTAGGATCCTTACAAATCAATCTGATTAAAATGCAGAAGGGTCGCCGCTTTTCCATTTCTATTCACTTCTTCTGCTCAATAGTAAACCAAACTGTGATCATGGATGGAAAATAATATTGCGACGCACTTTCATTTCATTTTCCCCTCTCTCCGACGGAGACAATTTGTGCCGGTTATTATTCCATCGTGCATTTTATCCCTTCTAATAGGGACCCTGCACGAGGAATTTGGTCGATTTGGGGAGACTTATGAGACATTAAGGTGGCATTGTATGAGGGTTAGGATTTGAATTTTTGTGTCTTAACTTTCCCTTTAATGTGTTTAAATGGAAAACTAAATTTTGAAACATATTAAATTTTTACTTGTTTGACAAAACATTTTCATGTTCATATTAAATTTCGAAACATGTTCATCCCCGTGCGTTTTATAAAAATGAAGATTTTATCGCATATAAAAATCGAAAATTCTGAGGTTTACAAAGTTATGAGGTTATAATTTAGATTTTCCTTTAATTAGGTTTCAAAGTCGTCATTTTAATGCATGGAAGAAGGGAAAATTGAATCACAAAAATTCGAATTCTAAACCCGTATACAATGGCACCTTAAGGCGTCCTATGTCAACGTGGGTAAGTGGGTGAAGGGTCAAATTCGCAAAAATCCGCCACATTTTTCATGTACAGTCCCAAACATGGATTTTACACATTTGCAAAGCTTGCAGCTTACACTTTTGCTTTTACTACACGCACCCGTACCCCAGTTTTGTGGGGAGAAGAAGAATTAGGATTTATGTATGCATTTATTCCGTATTATTGTTCGATCCATTTTATGTAGTTTGGAGGTTATGGGGTGACCAACAAACCAAGTATGGCAGAATTATTATGGGGATGGGAATCCTTGCAAGCCATGTTAAATCAATGATGTTGATCACACAAGGTTTCGACGTGTATAAAAGTAAAGAGCTTTTATTATAAAATTTTAGGTTTGGCCATCACTGGAGAATTTCTTTACGAATTTTGACCAATTGAGTCAGTCTATTGGTAATGAAGGTGATTTCATTCAAAGGATACGGACAAATTCATAAAATTTGAGATTTTGCTGACTGTAACAGCAAAAAGTCGGAGGTAAAAATTTCCAATGATTAACGTATATTATAAATGAATTAGATTTTAATTCGGTTGAAAACAAATGGGAGGAAAGAAGAAGGGAAATTAAGATTTAAATGAAATTTGTGTACAAAAACGCAGAATTTCTCAAAATGCTCATGAGTCGCATAAAAATATGAATCACTGAATTACTCTTAAATCCAATTTATCTATATTTATCAAATATAAAACCATTACTGGAAATCTCCAGCCGTCATCCTCAACATGCATATTTACATTAGCTGGAAACTTCAAAACCGCCCCAATTTCAATATTAACCTTTTATTACAAATAATTATTTATCAAAAGGGTTTCATGTAAAAATTACAATATATTCTTAGTTTTTTATAAAAAAAAACAAATATTTACAATTAGAGGTGGACAAAACTTATATTTTAGTTTTTTGGCATCATTATCATCAGGGTGATTATTTTATGGAGTGTTTTCGGTGGTGGTGGTGGTAGATTATTTGATTGCGTTAAGTAACCATTAATTATGATAAGCTGAAAATTATGGCTATAAAACTTTCTTCCCAGATTAATCTCGGCTTGAATATTTTGAGCAAGACGTGATCATTCACCAGTTTGAAAATCTAATTTTCCAAAATTTATAAAAGACTTATTATACAAATACTCATATCGTTTGATTAAAATTTAACAAATTCGCATTTCAAAATTTACCATAAAAATAAGTTAAAATCATGCATAATATTTTTAATCGATCGTTTCTGTTTCTGTTCCAACATCCTCTCTGGACGACTTTGTCATATTTTTCTTCTTTTCTACTAAGAACGTAAAATTTCTGCTCTGATTTCTTAAATCGTCCTCTTGACCCACATTGTCAAGATCCGGTACGACGTGATCTTCTGTCTCAGAAGAATGGTGAGGTTTGCTCAGAGAGATTAAAATCTTGGAATTTACTGGATTCGAATTGCTTCGATTAATATTTAGTGAATTGGAATGACTATTTTTTTGCACGGTTTTCGAAAATGAACTGGATTTCTGTCGTTTCGAACGAGGAGATGGTTGATGATGATCTTTGTGGTGATTTTCCAGCTCCAACCTGTTTGACCCCTGACCTCCTGCCCTGTAGGATGATGACCTTCTGACCCCATCATCATTACCCACACCCCCACTGGACGAACTCTTAAACGATTCACTTTTTCGACGGAATGACGCTCTGCTTTTTCGGCCAAGTTGCAGCTCCACTAATTAAATCAAAATTTCGTAAAATTTTCAAAAATGTACATAATTAAAAATTTTGGGAAACATTGTGCTCACAATCTGCATCTCGTCCAGATTTTCTCCCACAAAACGCTTTACAACAACAAATCAGCAACCCAATCAGGGCCAACAGGACGATACCAACTAGTGGAATGATCACTTCTCTACAAACACATGAAAAGTACGAGTTCAAAAATATGTCAAAGTTTCTGAAAAATTTCCTTTCAAAATTTCCTAATTTAAGAATTCCTTACTTGGAGGACAAAGGCATCCCATAATCTCCGCCGACATCGACTTCGTCAACGTCAACTTCCTTATTTTTGTGAAGACCTCCCCGATTTCCAGCCATTGTGGCGGCTTTCACCATTTCAGAAACTTTCAGGGAACTTAATTATTCGATTTACTAATAAAATTCTTCATTTTTCTGCGTGTACAAAATTGTTATCGTAAAACCTTCAAATTATTATTCAAGCTCGAACTCGTCAGATCAGAGGCTAACCCACGCCACGCGAATAATATTACGGATTTCGCATCGTATCCCACAATCCATTACATTTTCATTGCTGCTGCCATTGCCATCGGTGACGCAGGAAGAAGATGTCGAAAAGAGGAGATAAACTATTACTACTGACTGGTTAAACTGCTCCTATAACGGTGTTAGCAAGGGTTGCAAAGAAATGCATGAAATGGGCAAAATTATGGATTTCATGCAATTTTTTTCAGAATTTTTCGAAATATTTAAGATCGTTCAACATTCAATTGACCAACAGTGCACCCCATTTCATAAAATATGCAAAACCTAACTTATCCACAAGTTGTACATACAGATGCGCAAAATCCAGTTGGTTATTGCCAAAATTTTGCAATACATCCCACTTTTGCACACTTGATCCTGACTGAACGAAACACTACTACGTTTAACGTTTACAAACATTTAGCATTTTTTCCTCCAATAATTTTTACCCGAGTTGTCCAACGCATATCAACATATCAGCCCAACCCCGAAAGATAACTACTACGAATATACACTATTTACAACTCTATAAGAAACCCGATCCGAAATCTATGCAAAAAGACAAAGCTTGAGAGAAAATCTTCTAAAAATAAATCTGTAGTAAAAAGTCGTGTGGTCTTGATTTGTTTTGGGTGAGATGCTTATCACACAGATTTTGGGACCATGCAAAGAGCATCATGTGCTCGATTTTAAGGGGGCACAGGGGTCAAGGCGTACTATCATTAGTTAGATAATTTATCATGGATTACTTATACGGGTCACAAAAGGGCGGCATCTGAAGAAATTGTCAAAAAAGCGGTCACATTTTTTATGCCCGGTCTCACAGTAAAAGGAGAAGATAAAGGTGAACCTTATCGAATTTAGTGTCCCATCACTCACTCACTCGAGACAAGAATTACAAGTTTTTTTTTACTTGGCAAACACAACAGAATCATTTCTTTATTTTCATGTGCGTCACTCTCGATGGAAAGAGCAATTTGCAATTTTATGTAGAAAAGTCGCGATTGATTATAATTTCTGTAAAAATGCGTCACCAAAACCATGTGAGTTTTGTTAAATGTGCAGATACTGGGAATATCTGTATATGTGCACAACCTTCTCTATTTGCATTTAATGAATTTGTCAGTAGCGCAAAAATTTGCAAAATAAAATTAATTACATTTTTAGACAAATTGCATCCTGTGAAAATTATTTCCTTGAGAATGATGACTAAATTAACTACTTTATTTAGGCATTTAAAGTACGAATATGATTTGAGAATTGCTATATTTATTTAAATTATTGGTTAGATTTCAAGGTGCGTCTGATTTTAGCGAAATGCGTTTATTTCTTTTGCAAACTTATTTACTTGCTTCACCTCACCGATGGTAAACCAAAAAATAATCCAATAATAGATAATTAGTTTGCAAGATTCAAATTTTTTGTTGCATAAGTTTACAAATAGAGAAGACAATAAACTGTTTGAAATTACATTTTATTTCTTATCCTATTTACCTAATTTCTGCAAAATTCTGTCACAATAAAATCACTTCAAAATTTAATAATGCGCCGCCGCATACAGATATTCCTCCCTCTTCAATGGACATAACTTTCCTCCCAGTAATGCTTGCAAATAGATGGTGAATAACTATGTGCAAAAATTGGCAATAATTAGAAACTTGTGTAAAAATATGCATCTTTTTTTCTCACCTCCGCCATAACGCAGCCTATCAAAGGTCCGCATGTCGCTTGAATCACCATCCACAGCTTATTTTCATCTTCGCCCTCACCTTCGCCAAACACGCGACCAGTCGCCAAAATCGCTATCGTTGCGACCAGAATGATGAGGAAGGTTGTCGTGTACGTGATAAAGGGGACGATGGGACCGAAGTAGTTGAGCTGTCGTTATTAACAAATGATTATCCAGTGCTTATCGCCTAAAGTCTTATCTTATAATATCCAGTAAATTTGCAAGTTTTTTCGCAAAATAAAGAGGAGACGATTTTCCCAAATTTACAATACATTCGTGGCCTGAATTTCCTTTGGAAATTTGTGGAAATTTCAAGTGTGCAAGTTTTACGGGAGGGTTGCAAATATCCGAGTAAATTGTTACATAGTGTGATTAATGTATACTTGTACATATGCAAATATTCACCTTCGCAAACCTTCCTAAAATCCGGATAGAAATCATGAGACAGATAAAATACGCAATGCCAAACATGAAGAACATATTTTGGGCCTTGAGTTCCTCGTCATGTTCTTCGCCATCATCATCAAAAAATTCTTTCGTGACGAATTCGTGATATCTGGCGAAACAAAAACATTTAATCAATCAATCTTTACCAAACCAAAGAAATGTATTAATTGTTAGAATAAATTGCGTAAAAGTGGCAAATAATGGCAAATAATAGAACTCAAATTCTTCAAAATTTCGGGAATTTTCAGTTTCAACTTTTCCATCTGTATTATATCAACTTGGTTAAGTCCCTCCACAAGGAAAATTGGCGTCGCAACGTCACAGTCGCAACATTTCGTGCCCAGTTTTCCAATATATCAAAAACCATTTTTTTTACAAATTTTTGCTTGAAAATCCACAAGTTTCCAACATACGTACAATTGGCTCTTGACACGTTCTTCCTGTTCCGGTGTTTCTCCAGTGTGTTCATGCTCCGAATCGAAGTGGTCGCTAATCTTTTTCTGGATGTAGAGGTATTCGACGAGGGCGCCGGCGAGGAGGTAGTTCCAGCCCCACACGACCGACTTGACCAGGATGAGGAAAAAGTGGTACGGAGTGTTGCGGGCCAGGCCGGTAAAATAGTTCAAAATCAGGGAAAACACTATCAACGAGAGGAACACGATGCCGCTAATAATTTAAATTGTATACAAATTTTGACAATAATTCAATATGTATTTTCTCTGTAAAATGAAGAATGAATAAAATTACCTGGCAGTGTAGTCGAGCAGGATCGCGATTCGTAATTTGTGGCTGAAATTTTGTCAAAAAATAGGCATTAAATTTGCAAAGGAATTGACATAATGACGGAGAAAGTGTGGAAAGTTAGATTTCGGCTTGTTTGACTAATTTTGTATTAAATTTTTGCGTAGCTTGATGAATTTTGGACCAACTTACTAAAATGCGTACATCAACTGGAGCACGAGACAAGGAATATTCATCCAAATGACCAACACTAGCATTTTATTTGCAAAGATTTTTGCCAGCCTTCTATGGCGCAGTCTTCCGTCGACGTGATGCTTCTTTTTACCGATGCACTATTAGCAGATAATGAGTGGCATAAATTGAAGTGACCAGTTTTGTGGTATAAATGGTAAAGGATAGCATTTTGTGACACCAACCAAAATATGGATTCCCAGCGTTCCAGCCTGAAGGAGAAAATAGAGCACGTGTTAAAATTATAAAATTTGAAATACTCTAACGTCAATAAAATTTGAATTGTTCAAAATTCTTCCATATTAGTGAGTATTTCCCAGAAATGAAAAATTTCTTTCCAAAATTAATTTCAAAACAAAATCTCGACATCGAAAATTCCCAAAAATTCTCACCTCTTCTTCCGACGGAGTTGACGGTGGGGTTTCGATGTCATTAAGAAAGGAAGAGGAGCTCTTTTCCAGCGCGTGTCGGGGAATGGTGTCCTTCTCCGCGCTCTGTGGGACGAGTGAGGACGCGATGTGGTCATAATGACCTGGGCGAAGGACCGGTGAAAAGAGGGGCACACCCGGCAGGACTTCACCGTCCAGTTGAGGTGGTTCTGGGGGGAGTGGTGGGGCATGTTGCAATAAACTACGGTACGACGAGGCAGCCCCATCCACCCAAGTCGCACGAATCTTGGAATCTTTCTCTTTACGACGAGGCATTATTATTTTCGAATTGGTTTAATGCAAAAAAGAAATTGTAGCAAAACACAAATGTTTTTTTTAATTGGTTTACTTCCGGTATCTTTTTTATTAACTTTGCTTATTTTGTTTGATTTAACAATTTTGTTAACAATGGTATCTTAGGCACGCTAGCATTGTAATAAATGCATTTTTTGCATTTCCATTATATATAGGTATGGATTTTCTTTATAAATACATTTTGTTTCTGCAAACCGCACAGATGTAGGCACAAAAATATGATTTTGTAAAAAAAATATGTCTATTTTAACTGGATTTTACCAATTTATTAAAAACATATGAAATACAACTAAATACATATGAAAAGATACTGTACATAAAACTAGGATTTTGCTATCAAGAAAATTTACCTGTTCTAAAAAAATCTTCTGAGCTGTTCTATAAAAAATCACGTTTAAATAAAAAATCCAACCCACGATTTTGTTCATGAAAAATTCAAGCATGAAAATTTTCATGTGAATATATACACATGTATCTGAACCCATAAAATGAACCTGTACACGAGTTAAGTTGACATGTGAAGCCCACCCTTTTCTTGACTTTACTAAATAAACAAAGTACTACACACGTACAAAATTATATGTAAGGTAAGCAATGGCATGCATTCACCGGTGAGTAAAAGTAAACTGAGACTTGATTTGAAGTTGGAGAGAGAGATCGTTTCTCAAGTTGAAGAACAGGCATTGCATTATTGAGAAATTGAGATGAAATGCATTTTCTAATGCGTGGGCAGATGCAGAAATCAAATAAGGTTATACAGTTTGGCTGGTTGGTTGGGTTATGCATTTCCATTATTACGCTGCTTGGGGACCCAGGGTTCTGAAGATGCAGTAATTTTATTAATTTTCTTTACGCCTACTCACTCGGGTGTTTGTAAAGTTGGTAAAACGATTTTAGACACTTTTTACTAATTAAAGCGTGCTTGTTCTTAAGTTTTTATAATAGATTTGTAAGTTGATTGGATTTTGTAAGCATGTTCAAAGTGTATTAAGTTTGCAAGTTGTTGTAATAAGTTTCTGTACGAATTTTACGGGTTACAAACATCCGCGTGAAGTATAAAATTGGATTACGAAATGACTGATGAGAAAATTTGAGCAAAACAAATGTATATATGACAGTTTTAGGCCTTTTAAGATGGCCTTATAGACTTGTCAAGATGTCTGTCTGTCCGTCCGTCTGTCCGTCTGTAGGCACGATAACTCTCTTTAAACAAAAGCTACTGACTTAAAATTTTGCATACTTCTTCTTCGGGCAAAAAGTAAGGTTGAGTTCGGAGATGGGCATGATCGGTCAAGTGGTTGACCGGTGGGGGTCATTGGAGTGCGTGGGGTATTGTGCACCAAAATTTCAAAATTGTCGTAGAAAGCTGAAATTTGGTACAGAGGTTGACAATGGTTTCTAATGAAAGAATTGAAAGTAAAATTTCAAAAATTTCATCTGGAGGAATCCTAGGGGGTGGCCCATACCGATTTTTAAAACTTACCCCATCAAGCTGAAATTTGGTTTGGGGGTGGCTAATGGCTACTAACGGAAGAGTATGAATTGAAATTAGACACATTTTCATCTGGACAGACCCTCTGGGGCGACCCATACCTATTTTTTAAAATCGTCATATAAAGCTGAAATTTGGCATGGAAGTTACTTATTGGTCCAAATTGAAGAATATGAATTGAAATTTGACAAATTTTTATCTGGAGTGACCCAATGGGGTAACCCATGCCAATTTTTGAAATTCATTAAATCAAGCCGAAAATTTGTAGAGATAGTTCGTGTAGTTGGTAATGGATCCTAATGGAACAATATGAATTAAAATACGAACAATTTTCATCTGGACGACCTATTGGGTGATCCATACGGATTTTTAGAAGCGTCGTATCAAGTTGAAATTTGCTACATATGCTGCTAATTGATACTAATTAGAAGAATATCCATAACTTGGCCTGCCTTGGGCTATATCAAGTCTGCCCTGTAGGTTTAAATTGTTTTACGTTAATTTACGATAAAATTTCATGCTACAATGAGAAGTCATTAAGTATCACCGTGCCGAAATTTGGATTCTTACGGCAATTTCTGAAAATCGGTATGGGTCACCCTCTCGGTTGAAAAATTTTCCAATTTCACTTCATATTCTTCCATTACATTCTTCCATTACTTCCATTCTGTATAAGCCATTATCACGCTACATGTCAAATTTCAGCTTTCTATCACAATTTTGAAATTTTGGTGCATAATACCCCACCCACTCATATAACCCACACTGGTCTAAATCTTTTCTGATAGAACCCATCTTCGAACTTGGTCGTTGGATTGCCCAGATACAGGTATGTACCAAATTTTGGGTCAAAAAAGGTCGATTACATAAGCCCTGGTTTGGGCTAAAAATTATATGCAAATCGTTCATTATAGTCTGGCTTTTAGGTAATAACGCCGTCTTAAAAGGCCCCGCAAAGTTGCTTGAAGTAGGTTTTTGTTAAATATGATAAGTTGAAATCCAATTTTGAAATTATATAGATTTCAATATTAAATAGACCATATTATAAAAGATTTGTCAATGTTTATATTGTTTATATTATTAGGTATGTTTATATTCCACCATATTTCCTATTAAACATCTATTTTTATTTATTATAATTCTTCCCACGTGCACTAAAAAACACGTAAAACACCCCACAAAATCTCAAACATTGTTTACACTTACACGACACCCTTCCCTTCATATCCCGTATTCATCCTTAAACCATAGACTTTTACGTCTCTTTCTTGAGACCCTTCTTATCGTCGTCTTCGTCTTCTTCATCATCTCTCCTTCCTCTTCATCTTCTCAACTTGGATGGGATATTTTATTTATAAAAATCTTCACCCTAAACCTAAACCTAACTAAACTCCATTCCAGTCTGGCATTCGAGTCTTGTGTAATAATAAAACATGCTGGATTCTGGATACGAAGACTTCTTTCTCATATAAGTAGATATTCATAGAAAGGAAGTGGAAGTGCATAGCGTAACATTTTTCCTATATTTTTACCACCACTACTGTTCTCTCCATTTAATTCTGTCAACGTCTTCAATAATTATCATCGCATGACGCTGGTCGCCTATTTCTGCAGGGGACGAAGAAATTCACCAATTCGCATACTCTGCTTATTATAACGGAGACTTTTACTTACAGATTAAAAAAATAAGAGTCTCGTATTTCCTCTGGTTCATTCATTCGTGCAAGTTTTTGATAAGTCGTCATTCGTTATAAAATATGTGTGACGATGCCACAATAAAATTTGTATGTATAAGAAATGAATCAGTTTGTTAAACTGGACGACTGCTGGAAGTGAGTGAGTTTGCCATTTTGAGTGCGAATCTGGCACACAAAACCTTATTCATTTCAGGGTGAAAAATAGATAATTGCATAATTATTTGCATTCATTTTTAAGGAGAAGAATAATAACGTGGAAATTTTTAGGGTGTCAGTTTTTCTGAAAATGTAAGGAGGAAGAAAAGTTTGTGTCTGTGGGTGCATGAAAAATAAATAAGCCGGCTTCCGGTTGTGATAAAAGAAGATGAGCGTGTCTACACTTAACTTTAAATAATGGAGAAATAAACTGGAATTAATTTTATAACGATATTTATTTCTACAAATTGAGAAAGTATTAAGGAAATTGTGGTGAAATGATTCGGTTAAAAGTGGTGGGTGGAAGGGTTCTATTGCTCCTCTTGTTTGTGGTACCGTCGGGATGGACGCGAATAAACGAGGTATGTATGTATCTACTGGAATAAGTTTCTTTTTTTGCATGAAAATTATGAGCAAGTATTAATGGAAAACGTGACAGAGTAAAATGTTCATGTGGGCATGCAAAATTACAGGGTTGCTTGTTTTGTGTTAATGTCTCAATATTGCATAGGTCATCCTTATTTGATTGGTATTTAATCTTAAATTGTTTTTCGACGGGGATGTCTAGACTTTATTGGCATCAGAGTTTTTAAGGAACTTTAAGGTTGTCAATGTTGAACGTATTAAAAAATAGTTTGTCAAATTTTTGTTTTCTATGAATTTGACAAAGTATTTTTTTAATTTTTTCAAAAATATTTGCCAGTACAATTTTCCACATGCATGAAATAAAATGTATTTATGTAAATAGATATGTTTCTACTATGTTCACAAAATCAGGTTCATTTTAAAGAGTATTTTGATAAATAATTGCTGCAGTTTTGCTAACGCGAAATCACATAAACATAATCGTGATAAATTCAACTTTCAATTTCTTACATGCCCGACAATCTGTTTACTTACTCACAAGTTGTTTGAGATTTAATTAAGCGTGTGTAAAAGTATTCACTCACATTGTTTAACGAGATAAGTTATTTTATCATTTATTGAAAAATTTAAAGACATTCAATTCAATTGTAACCGTCATTATAGATGATGAAATTGCAATACAAAACCCTGGAATTTTGTCAAATGCAGATTAAATTACTTTCATAGTTTTTGGCTTGATCAATGTAATTTATTTATTTGTTCTTTTGACGGAAAGTTTAATGACTAATAAATTATCTGTAAATCATGCAAAATGTTCTTAAATTTCAAAGGATATTATTTGCCCAATGTGTTTAAATCTATGAGTTGCAATTTTGAAAAAACTCTGAAAATTTCAAACTTATTACAAATGAGTACATTAAAAATCGTACTATAGACCAGAACATAAATCTCTGAATATTATGCTCTCAGCAAATCTCCATTAAATTCAAGCGGTTACAAACCTTTGCAAATTTAGCCGCATTTTGCTTTTACTACATATTTATATTAACGTTATGCTAAATAAATAATGCTACGTGAGCATAATTAGACACCAATTTTTACGAGGAACAAATTCCATCGGAATTTTTAGAAGTAACATTGCACATTCTGCGCATACTTATTTGCAAAACAATCTTAATTTGCACAATTTTATCTGTTCAACAGCAAGGAGGTTGCATCGGCTGCACGGTTCAGCCATGTTTCTGTGAAGGCGAAAAAGGTCTTACGGGCGAGCGTGGAATTCGTGGTCAAAGTGGAGCAGAAGGTTTTCCAGGTACGTTTAAAACCTTATCGGATGAGGTTATCTCTTTTGGGGCAATCTTCGAGCAAAATTGCGAATTTTTACTAGAAACGTAGATAATTCGTGAGTCATTTTTTGATTTTTTGTTCCAAAACCAAACTCTTGGTATATTTTAAAATGAAACGATTCATTCACTCGGATATTTACAAACCCAGAAAAGCTTGTAATTTTTATCAGATTAATTTTGGTTAAGTTTGTAAGTTTGGGGAGTTAAATTAGGTTACCAATATCTGAATTGTCTTAAATATATACATTCTGTATGTGCATATCTTAATTACACGCGAAATCTGCTAACAATCAAGTTCTTTAGATCAAGAATCGACGGAAGAAATCTTCGATAAGCTTTCTCTGTGACCCTGATAGATTCTGCTTCTTTGTTTGTTAATCCATTATTCAATTGTCAACAGCAGAGACCAATTGATTAGAAACTGGCAGATTGTAACGTCCATTGGGTAAAATCTTGAAAAAATATATTATCTAGCATAAAAGATTCAGATTGTAAAGTTGTGTTTATGCTTCACGTCATCGTCACGTCCTCCTCCAAACCGGATTTGTTGACTGGTTAAAATTTTTAATTGTCGTAGTAATAATTTCGCTCAGCCAATCAAAAAATTGGATTTGGAGGAGGACGTGACGATGACGTGAAGCATAAACGCACCTTAAAGTACTGGGCAAATAAATTAAGTGCGGACAATAATTATGCAACAAAAAAGGAAATGGGTGATTTAAAAATTTCATTTATAAACCTGCAAATAGTTAGAATTTTTCAAACAAAATTTTTCCAACCCAATGGGCTACTCGATCCGTAAAACTCCGCTGCCATAAAAAAATCAGAAATTTATAACGTACACACTTTGAATTATCATGTCCGTCCGGCGTTAGTCGGCGTGAACATAGTGACCATCATGACCAAGTAATTTACCACCTCACAAAGATCAGGTCAAAATTATGAAGGCATTGAAATCTAATCATGATCCGTGTGACAAGATGTGAATGGACTTGTTTATTAATAGATCAACTCAAATTTTTCAAACAATTCGATAGTTAATATATGCCAAATACGCCATGTAATTCAACGAAATTTTATGAAATATGTAGATGATTCCCTTCCACTTGATTTCCAAATCAGTCGAGAAGAATTTAAATTTTGAAAGTCTGTTGAATACTGCATATTTATGACGAAAGTTCTTGTTAAATTTGTTCTAAAACGGTTACCCCATGATGCCGATTATCAAAAATGAATTACAAAATTTCATGTGAGAAATAAAGCCCAATTTTTTGCATGCTCATTAATATAGGCGACATAGGACCAGACGGACCTTTTGGACCCAAGGTAGTTTTCACAAGTTTTCTTACGAAAAATAAATTCACTTAATAAAATTATAACTGAAGATGTTACGCGTTTTTATAGGGACAAAAGGGCGACCTTGGTAATTCTGGATCAATGGGGGAGAAAGGTTATCGGGTAATGCAAGTATTTTTATTTAATACTACTTATTTCATTATTTTGGTCCCAACCGATTTGACAAATTTTACAAACTTATAATTTAATTAATTGATGCACCCGGCAATTTTCACCTATTGAAGAATGTATGTACATATGCTAAATGTTGTTCTTACTTCAGGGCGACGGTGGCGTTCCTGGCTTCGTAGGAGTCGCAGGACGTCCAGGTAATTTAAACTGCACACAAAATGTGTTTTTGAATGAATTAATGTACATGAAATCCCGTAATTATCCATCAGCAAAAGTGTTTATTTATTACATAAAAATAAGGCAGTACCCCTAAATTCTAAAATAATTTACAGGGCTCCCTGGAACCGATGGCCTCGCAGGGGACGATGGAACAGATGGGTACATAATTTATTTTGAAACATTCTTAATAATTATAGAACAAAATATTAAGTGGAAAAGGTTTAAATACTGCACCCAACATAAATTGGTGACAATTCGGTTACCAACTTATTTTCAGCATAGTTGAACATGGAATACTGCACAATTTATGATTGCAGTCTGATTATGCAAATGACTGGATATGCATATTACTTGCTTGTTATTACAGGTGTAATGGAACTGATGGTGGGTCAGGCTTCCCTGGTCGACCTGGTGGAATTGGGGGGCGTGGAATGATCGGACCTCAGGGTAATCGGGGTCCTCCTGGTGATGCAGGTCAGCATTTACTTAATAAGCCATCATACTTTTAAGAATATGTACCATTGACACGTTGCACAGCATACGAATACGATATATATAGCATAACTCATAATAATTCATATTTATGCCAAAACCATATAAGTGAGTGATACATTGTTAAATCACAATAAGCGGTTTTAAATGTTTTGAATTGTATAAACCTGCCAAATTTCCGAAATTATCACAATTAAATTTTGGAACTGTTTTGTGACATTCAGTTGAAATACCTATTAAACGGAAGGGATTATGAAATAGAAGCGATTATGAGTATGTAATTACTGCTGAATTAGTTTACAGGAAAGCCACCATTAATTTAATTAATTTATTCGCTAATAAATCAAACAAAATTAAGCGGTTAGCCAATTTCCTCTTCTTTTCTATAAAAATCGGGGCTAATTTTTCATTATTTTTCATTAACTCAAACATCATCAAAGAAAACGTTTTAAAGTAGAACCGAAAGCGAGTAAAATCATGGCGTTGATCCGTTTCGACATTGGAACCTTATTCTATTTACTTGTCCTGTTTTTCCTTATCGTGCAACAAGTCTGGGTTGCTGAAGGTGAATCAATTAGTTAAATATTCCTGAAAACAAAAAAATATGCAGAATTTTCAAACAATTGTAAAATTTAGCATGCCGATGTGACCAATCCGGTTGTTACGGTTGTAACACTCCAGCAAGTTGTCGTTGGTCAAGGGGACGGTGGACATGTGTTGGACGCTGATCTAACATTTCAACTGACCTGGGCGGACCCTTGAAATTGTTTAAATACAAATTAATAAATTTTTGATTGGATGAATAGAAATTTTGCTGTCTGCCTATCCGTGAACATTTCGAATCATTCAAAATTTATCAAATAATAATAAACAACAATATGTTTTCATACGTTCATTCATTTATTCTCACTGATATGAAGTAAATGATGAATCTTCAGTAGAGGGTGTATGAACAAGAATTTTTCTGCATAATTTATTCTCACATTTCATAAACAATTATTTTACCCTACTTACCCTTAGCATAAACGAAACGTAAAATTTCTTACTCGATTGTAGCTTTTCATCTACATCAATTATTGCATTTTTGACTTGCATATCGAAATAACTCGCCAATAAATTTTTCTCCGTATCCCACATTTAATTACAGATCTATGTATGCATACATTCTCAATATGAAATGACGGGTATTTAATATCGTCATTCATAATAATTTTAGGCGAGGGGGGCATCAATTCTCCCGGGTATAAGGGCGATTGGGGGGAGTCTGGTCGTCCAGGTAGCCCGGGCTTGCAAGGACATCCAGGAATGCATGGACTAATCGGACCACGAGGAGATCCTGGTGACAGCGTGAGTCCATACACCTTTTAGCCATTTACATGTTTAAGTGTTATCTAATTACAAGGTTGCTTTGCTTCTTTAAATTCTAAAATGTTTAAGAAATACGTATGAATGGCGTCTTTAAGTTTTTGATATCTTACGAAACAGGGACTTCCTGGAAATTTTGGAGACTTTGGACAGAAAGGAGCAAAAGGAGAGATGAACATAATTCCACCTGGGCCAAAGGTACGCTTTACATACGTTAGCATAAGTAATTCTTCAGACTTTCACTAGTAGAAATATCACGCACAAAGTAAACCATATTTATTTTAACCGGATCAAATTTGTACATATGCTTTTGTTTCCCATATTAAAATACTAAAAATGATGTCAAACTACTGCAGATCTCATTTCTTTACACATTTTTAAGCTTTACAAATTGGAATATTCTTGAATTTAGAAAAATGTTAAAGTTTTCCAATTTAAAATTTATGGGTTTATTCCTCGAGTTTGAAGGAAAACATGAGCTTTACAACGGAAATCCATCAGGGTCAATGTTGCTGATGGCTCAATATTTATGTAAAATATCTTGTATTAATTAATTAATTTGTCTAATTATCAAGGGTGACTGGGGAGATACCGGTGATCCAGGGCCGCCTGGTCCTGGTAGCTCTGTCGTCCCACCGGGTAAGAAAAAGTCCACCCAATTAAAATTTTATTTACTTTGTCTCCAGAATGTGAAGATAAGCTACTTACTGTCTATTTTTCATTACAAAGTCATTTATATTTATCTACTATTTATGATTAGAAATCACTTTCTTACGAGGACCCAAAGGAGAAGTTGGGATTAAGGTAACTTTTCAATTAATATCTAATTTTTTAAATAACATACTTAAAGTTGTTACAATTTGCAACTCTGTGATCTGAAAAAATTGAATATTGACTGATATTAATCACATTAGTTAATGAAAGTAGGTATCCTATTTTACGTGTAAATTTATTTGAAAGGGCGAGAAAGGAAGTAGTGGGCACAGGGGACCATTTGGACCAATGGGATTGAGTGGCGTTCCAGGAAACCCGGGTGAGTTATTTATTTATTATTACGTAGCAAGAGTTAAATACTTTCTATGAGTTATCTGGTAAATAGCATCTGCACAATATAACATTCACAAGTTATACATATGTTTAAAAGTACAAAAGTAATATATACAAAAGTTGCTAAAATTCATGAAATAGCATGAAATTCAAGATAACATGGCAAATCGTAATCACAAATCGGTTAATAAGCTTGATTTTTATGATAATATTCCAAACACCAACAATTATTATTGCATTTTAAAATTTTACACATAAACAAATATTTACGCAGAACATATTCCAATTATTAGAAATTTGTATAATACACAAAATAAAATAGAATAGCCAATAATCACAGCTTGTTAATGGCACATTTTCAAAATAATTGTATAAAATTAAATACAGAAATAATTAGTTAAACAACATCATAAATCGTAACCATTTCAGGCAATTAATCTTGTTGGTATGTAATTATTACATAATCAATCATAATTATTAAAGCTTCCGCACTGCTCGCTTTCATCTACTTTTGGATGCAGAACTTTGTCCCAGTGACAACGGCGTTGATGTCCGACACAACTTGCAACATTAGCAAATGCCTTGTCCTGACAGAAGACGCATTTTACTCGTCCTCCGCTCGTGTAGTGGCACTTCTTTATATGTTCTTCAAGATTTTCCTCTTGAGAGTACGTATTGAAACAAAGCGGACATCTCCATATTCCGTGGCGCTTAAGACATGTGGATACACGTTTACCCACCTTGAAGCAAACGGAACATCTCAACTCTTTCCTGAGTACCGATAACGTCTTCAGCTCCTTCCGAGTGTAGTGCATCTGGTCAATTGGGGAAGAACCTACCCCTGTGGGAATTAGGATTTTAGATTTCTTCCTAGATTTTGCTTTTCCTGGAACTTTCACTTGGTCAGGTCGTGAATGGGTAGACTGTAGGTTAGTCGATTTAGCAGCAGGAGCCCGTTTTTTAGCAGCTTTCTTATGTCTTGGGTAACCAATCCCTGACATCGAGAACAATGAGTAGCGTGATATGCTTCTGCTGCCAGCAAGAGAAGGGTTTGATTCTTCATCTACGGGAGAAATAAGGCACTCCCAACCTTGGTCGTTGTTGTTCAGATGAATGTGGAAATCCTCAGGGAGTGAAAACTTCTGGTGGCAAGTGGCACAAATCACCTTATCCTCTTCGTTTCCAATGTGGGAAAATAAAGCTTTGTAATTGGGGTGGTGTTGAGCGACATGAGTGGTCCAATCTCTGTTTGAAAAGTATCGCTGTGGGCAAAGGGGACAGTTGATTCGCCCGTCCTTTTCCACGTTTCTAGAGTTTGAGCCTGCAACGTTGATGATCGAGAGACTTCTACCGGACAGTGCCAGTTTATCCACTTTGACACCCGTAGCGTTAGTTTTTTTCAATTGTACTAGTGCAGGTCTTGCTTGTGGTGGCGGTAGTCGAGATGAAGTGGTCGAAGGTTCTGAATCTGGTGCAGGGTTTCCAACCTTATCCATCCATTCTTTCAAAACGAGGCTTCCAATTTCTGACAAATCATCATCTAGGCCATCAGCCATTTCCGTTTCCACTATGGGGATAGGAATTGATTCCAAATATTGACCTTCCTGAAAATCGAGTTATATATTCATTTAATTAAGTAATTTTAAGCATAATATGAACCTTATATATATACATACATACACAATCAAAATCTACTTACATGGTTTTGAGTGGAGTTAGGATTATGTTCTGGAAGTTTACCAGATCGCCCATCATCAGAATCCGATGAGAATGATTCGTCCCTTTCTTCTGGATCCATAACCTGATCAGCAGGATCTTCACGCACGTCCAGATGTCCAATAGATGAATTTATTACCAAATTATTTCCTCCTTCAGCACCAGCGCAGTTTCGCACAATATCTTCAGTCACCGGTCTCGGCTGCATGCCCTTCTTCAAAATTCCATTCCTTTCGACAATAAGATTTCCAAAATCGGCTCGAAACATTTTGAAAAAGTCCTTCATTTTTTCAAACTGATTTGAGTTGATGAGAACATAACTTTTGTACGCCAAAAAAAGGATGAGCTTCATCGTATCGGAGGTAATATCGGGAACGGAAATCATACTAATTTCTCCAACGGGCTGAAAATCGAAGAATTAAAATTAATACCAATCAAGAAGAGTATTGTAATTGCAAATATGTTACCTGATCGTTAAACACCGTCGCCAATAATTCATATTGCGTCGCCAATATGACTTTGTGACCTTTGACCCGACCTCCATCTCCACATAAAAATACGACATCTGCAGCTTCATCCACTATTTCACCATTTTTGAAATATACTGCGCGCAGTGTAGGTTGTTGATACTTGCGGTACACAACTTTTTCTAATGCACAATATACATTTACCATTTTAATTTTACCAAGCATAAATCTTGACATATTGACCTAATTAATTCATGACTAACTTACGGGGATTTTTTTGCTTTGCGAGTACCGTGGGTGTCGGAGACAAGCACCTGCTTTTTCGACTACTCATCACGTCCGTATTGAGACCTTCTTGTTGCATCGTTAATTCTGAATATGGCGTAATTTGATCAAGTTATTAACAATTTCAAGAAAATTTCAAACTTCAAAAAATCACTCACCTTAGACTTTCCACCAAGTCGATCCGTGTCCAAAATCCAGCAAAAAAGTCCGATCTTGACTAAACTTTTAGCAAATGTATTTTCCTGATTGGTGAAAGCTGCGGGGGCCAGGGGATAACTCGAAACTTCAATTTTTATGCTATTTCGAATAATTATGTAGCTCCCAAAAAATATTCGGGTCACCGACTGTCGAGAAATTGAGATGCAGACTCAGATTTGCCCAAGAAAACTGGAAAAGTTTTTTATCACGAAAATGCATGGTTGGGGACAGGTCATTGAACTGCAAATGGTTGCAGCTTCTGGTATAAGAATTGAATTCGGTTACTATTTATTAAGCAGTGAATGAACTCTCTAAAAACAACTGGGGTGAAAATGCATGGAAATTCCATTACAATATTTATCTAATTGAATGGACGATACATGCAGACTCATTCGCATAAGAAATGGAATTCTGGTCTCACCATGTCTGGAATGTGCAACCGGACACCGTGTGGATTATGCCTATCACTAAAATATAGTACTTATAGTACTTATCCTTAGATACTGTGGATGAAGTTCTAACCCTGCAGACTTATTACACCGCTTTGTAGCATTAATTTCACGACGTCACCGGTCAAAAAAATTTTTTCCTCCAAACTGGTCCAAAATAAAAGTCTAGCATGGGAATAGTATAGAAAAATTATTTTTAGCGTTCTATGACCCCTGGGTCATGAATTAAGGGCCCCTGAAGGGTCAAATAGCGTTCCCTGATAACCCCATGCAAATGGGGTATCAAATTAATCCCCTGGACCAGGGGAACCAGAAAAATATTTTTATAAATTTTTATGACCCTTGAGTCGTGAACTAGGAGCCCTTGAAGGGTTAAATATCATTCCCTCACAACTAAAGGCAAGTGGGGTATCAAATTAATCCCCTGGACAAGGGGAACCCAAAAAATATTTTTCTGGATTTTTTTGACCCTCAGGTCAAGAGTTAAGGGCCCCCGAAGGGTCAAAATAGTAACCATGGTAACCCCATGCAAGTGGGGTATCAAATTAATCCCCTGGCAAAGGGCAAGCATAAAAATATTTTCCTGAATTTTTTTGACCTATAGGTCAAGAGTTAAGGGTCCCTGAAGGGTCAACATAGTAACCATGGTAACTAAGGTGAATGGGGTATCAAATTAATCCCCTGGACCAGGGGAATCAGGAAAATATTTTTATGCTTGCCCTTTGCCAGGGGATTAATTTGATACCCCACTTGCATGGGGTTACCATGGTTACTATTTTGACCCTTCGGGGGCCCTTAACTCTTGACCTGAGGGTCAAAAAAATCCAGAAAAATATTTTTTGGGTTCCCCTTGTCCAGGGGATTAATTTGATACCCCACTTGCCTTTAGTTGTGAGGGAATGATATTTAACCCTTCAAGGGCTCCTAGTTCACGACTCAAGGGTCATAAAAATTTATAAAAATATTTTTCTGGTTCCCCTGGTCCAGGGGATTAATTTGATACCCCATTTGCATGGGGTTATCAGGGAACGCTATTTGACCCTTCAGGGGCCCTTAATTCATGACCCAGGGGTCATAGAACGCTAAAAATAATTTTTCTATACTATTCCCATGCTAGACTTTTATTTTGGACCAGTTTGGAGGAAAAAATTTTTTTGACCGGTGACGTCGTGAAATTAATGCTACAAAGCGGTGTAATAAGTCTGCAGGGTTAGAACTTCATCCACAGTACCTAACCTACCTGAATGTATCCTTCCAGAATGTGATTGAAGCAGAGCTCGGCGGATATCGGGTGAAAACCTCCAAAATCTTGCCCTTCCATGATATCCGCCGTGCTCTGACTATGATCAACTTCGCATGGACTCTCACTAATTGAGTCAATTTGGCGAATAAACGTATAATAGATTTCTTGTTCGGGTACAAAACTCTGCATTTCTTATCGAAACCTAATTCGATAAAAATTAAAAATTTACCTTGTGACTCAGGGGGTATGACAAAATATTGAGTTTCAGCAAGCCATGTTTTGCTCAAACGTTCGTTCATTTGATAGAAATGAATGACAATAATTAACTAATTCATATTTTCATGTAGGTGACAATGGTGTCAGCGGTGATCGCGGTGATGATGGTGCGAGAGGAAAACAAGGTAAAATATTTTTAATAGCTGTCCCATTGCTTTTTACAAATTGCATATGATTTTAGATTCTGACTTTCAGAAAATGAAAAGCTTCCATTTTATTAAATAATTTTTACTTAGAAAAGATAAGTTATTCAGTTATTGGCCAGAGTTAGAAAGCACATGAACAACTCATATGCAAATAAATTGCGACAAAGTTTCCGATTCGTTAAAAAATTAATTCATATCAGATTTCTTTAAAATTTTCAATGAATATTTCTGGAGCAATTTTATATCTTTCATTTTGTTATCAAGGTCGGGAAGGTCCTGAAGGCCCTGCAGGTATAAAGGGAGCCAAGGGCGCTCCAGGTTACGAAGGAGTTCCGGGATTCGAAGGAGGAAAGGTACGAAAACCATTTAAAAACCCTAATTTCGGTTTCAATTCATTATAAGCTGTACCATAGGGAGATTTTGGAGATCCTGGGAGACGTGGTCAGATTGGTAAGAAGTTATCATCTTTACACATTAAAATGGTCATATGAATTTACTAACACAGCAAGTGTAACGTTTATATAAATCTTTCATAACGAATTAAAGTGTACCTTGAGCTCAATTAACTAATCCTTAATTTAATTCAGTGATATATTTTAATACGCAACGTCATAATTTTTTGTTGAAATAATTTAATATTTCAACACATTTAACACTTTATGTCATATCATAGGTGATCAAGGCCCTCTAGGTCTACCAGGAGAGTACAAAGAAGGCGAAGATGGTGTCGGGTCTCCAGGTCCAGTCGGCGCACAGGGACCAATTGGCTATTCAGGTGAGACCAATTAATGCGTATATACCTTAAAATAATAAATTCATAGTTCAGTTTTTGCAGATAAAACTATTATGTAAAAAATAAACTTTGTAATCAATTACAAATTTAATGGCTTAGCTAGCATATCATTTTTTCACATGTTTACATAGGTCCCAAGGGTGAATTTGGTCGACGTGGAGAAAATGGCTTCATGGGAAAGTAAGTTCATTATACGCGTTCTGAAAGCACCGGTATCTCCGAATAAATCATGCAAGTCTTATACCATCAATTTCTATTGCAGTCGTGGCCCAGCAGGACCCCCAGGACCAGAGGGAATAGCTGGAAATCCAGGAAGGCCTGGTTTTACGATGAAAGGTACGATACAAGCGTTGTATAATTGGTTTGATACCAAACTGCAGGGTCGTCCTTGCAACATGTCACTTGTAGAATGGAGGCTAATACAATAAATTTGAACACTTGCATGCTTTATACATAAATAAAATAAGTTCGTCCCTCAGATCATACATAGATATTAGAAATATAATGATAATGACTACTTTGTTTTCCCCCTATTATGTAGGTGAAGTTGGGGATTCAGGTTTTCCAGGTCTTCGGGGCCCTGCTGGATTTGATGGCGTCCCTGGAGTGTATGGAACTCAGGGAGCAAAAGGCTTTCCTGGATTAACAATTATAGGCCCACCAGGTAGGTAAACTTATTGATTAAAGAACATGATCAGGGAAGACAGTCTATTTTTGAATACCAGATTTGTATGAGTTTGTATGATCAAGTTCTTGGGGTTCATCATGTACATCTGTAACTTTGATTTAAAGGGTTGCTACTTTAAATTTTACAATGACCTATCTTAGGATTGGATGGAATTCCTGGGCGAGATGGATTGGACGGTTTACCAGGAGAAAGAGGAGATAACGGGTAATCTAACGTCATTTTTCCAAATTTAAAACTATAGCTAATAAAGGCAAGACAAACCCTGTTGCTGGTCATTAATTAAGCAGCAACTTGAACTTTAACGTTAGCATCGCATTGCATTTCATCTCGCATGAAAATGAATAACACATCAGCATTGTTATTAATAGTAAAAAATCTCAGTGTAAGTATCAATTCTACCATTTTTGATGGTATAGATATCAAGGAGCCAAAGGTTATCCAGGCGCAGGATTCGACATAATTGGACCCCCTGGACCTATGGGGACACCGGGATTAGGTATTTTTTGTAACTTGTGTACATCATTTTTTCTATCAGTTTAAATATACTAAATGAATGCATTAATTATTATTATTAGATGGCGATGTGGGGTTACCTGGTTTAGACGGAGTTCCTGGTTTTCCTGGTTTGAAGGGAAAAGGTGAGCTGAAAACTAATCCTAAGATTATTGGTCTGATCAAAGAAAGATTTTTTGTGCAAGATCTCTTATAGTTTCGGGAATGATTCCAAAATTGTCAAAGCATTTAAACATCTTCTCATTGTGATTATACTGCATTCTAATTTTATTGAGAAGTAGATACATAAATCGGAAATAATTGATTGGATCATTTATGTTCAGGTGGGGAAAATTGCGGCCCTTGTTTCGATGGATTTCCGGGCCTCGCTGGAGAGAAAGGAGAAATTGGCTTTCCTGGAATTCCTGGCACTGTGGTATGTCCCAAATACTACGTGATTTACAAGATTTCGAAACCCGATTAAAATTAACTTCTGAAATTACACGCATTCGAAAATATCGCAAAATTAATAGAAATCTAATCTATTGTTTAATAGCTATTATTTTGTTAGGGTCTTCGAGGTTTAACAGGTGAACGTGGCTTTCCTGGACCCCGTGGAAAAGACGGACTACCAGGCTTTAGAGGAGTAAGTTAACCATTTCAATTTTATTTATCAATATCATGAAACTATGAAAGTGAAAGTTGCAAGGAAGAGACCAATCTGAAGTCCTTAATCGAGTTTACATATTTATTTCCGACTCAAAAATTAATGCTTATTTTGAACTAGTATAGTACACATACGGCTAATTTTAGAGGGATATGTTTCCCAATTTCGTGTTTAAATTAAACAATTTTTATTTTAAATTATACCTAAAGTAGCAAAACTGCATAACTCACGTCACCTGTTGCGATTTGCGAATTTTCTCCTGTAATATTTTTATATGATGTTTTGGTGGTAATCATTTTTTTCATTAAACCCCTTAATGTGTCACAAGAATCGGTGAATTTCCTGCAGTGGTTAAGATTGATTTTTCCAGAGTAATTGCCTTTATGTAAATATCTATTCAAAGACCAAACTCAAAATCTAAGAACCTTAATTTCTCCATGTTCAGATACCTGGACGACCTGGATCGTTCGGTTTAGCTGGTTTTCCTGGAGAAAAAGGTGTCCCAGGTGAAGTAATAATGCCCGAGACGGAACTAATTATAGGACCACCTGGACAAATTGGCGATAAGGGATATCCAGGCCTAGATGGTGTACGTGCATTGCCAGGTAAAATATTCCTTTCAACTAGGAATTTGCATGCTGTTGTATAGACTTTGCAAAAATATGTAATATGAAAATATCCTGAGCCCTGTGATTTGTATTGCAATTTTCAATTTAAAGATCTGTTTCATAGCATAAGTATATATTCACCTAATTAATAAATGCTCTTAATAACTTTCTAGGGCCCCCTGGCCGACCAGGAGATCCGGGACCCGTTGGAACAAAGGGTTTGTTACAAACATAAAATTCAGGTTTGACATTTTGAACAAAATTAAACTACACATTTTGCCGTTTTATAGGAACGAAAGGCTTAATGGGAGATGCTGGGCTACCCGGATTTGATTCCCGTCCAGGAATACCGGGTATTTATAAAATAACAGATAATTTCTATATACTAACCATTTTCTAACTTATTTATCATCCATGTTTTCGTGGGCAAAAGAGAGAAAGTTTATTTAAACTGTATAAAGATAATTCAAGGTTTAACTAATTTTGATCCACATTAGGAATACCTGGACAGAAAGGAGAACCCGCTGATTTCTTTATCGACAAAGAAGTTCTACGAGGAGATCCAGGCTATGATGGCAGACGGTAATTTACAAAATTTTTGGTTCCCGTTAATAAATATTTTTTCAGCTTATCTACCACGAAAAGTGATAAGGATATGAAATTAAAAATATGATTAAGAAATTTTCCAAAATAATGATGACAGGTTGTTACTAATTTTGATGATTTAAAATTTGGGAATACTTGTGTCAAAATTAGAATACATTCTTCTGCTTCTTTTTGTCTCAAGTAAAAGTATGATGGATAAAATTTGCTTAAATTTTTGTTCAGTGGACCACCAGGAGAATTAGGCGAGGTTGGATTTCAAGGCGAACCTGGGGACAGTTTAGGCTTCCTCGTGATGGGAGAACACGGAGATCCAGGCTTCCCTGGTCAGAAGGTAATTATATACAATGTAGTAATCAATTAATCTTTATTTCCCAAACAGTACATGTATATTGAGCAGTAAAAAACGAATTGAGGAGCAAACGAGATTAATAAATTCTAAAATGGTAAATGCTGTGTAAAGGGTCTACAAGGAGATCGTGGCCTTGATGGAAATCCAGGTTTTGATGGGCAATTTGGTGACAAAGGAGAAGCTGGAGATCAGGTAAGCGTTTTAAAATTGCATTTACTGTATTAATGTAGTACCATTTATTTAACTCATTCATGTCTACTTATCTCAGCGTCCTGGTATTTTTGGAGAAATGGGAAGCAAAGGTTACGCCGGAATACCTGGAGATGCAGGTGAGCTGAATATGTTAGACTATAAAATGTACATCAGTCTATCTAAATCAGGGTTATTTTACCGATGTTGACAAATTTGTTAAAGCCTAATTTAAGCACAATGTTCGCTGTCGCCTTGAGACTAAAGCTAATCCTAAGTGGAATATGTACATACATACATTAGGCAAAATTTTTCACTCAACTTTCACTTGACATATTTAGTATTAAGTATTCAAACAATGCTAAATACGAAGCAAGAAACAGAGCGTTCTCACTTCACAAAAAATGCTGAAATGACTAAATAAAATGTGATCCCTTAATTCACTTTTAAACATCTTTACATTTAGGGCCACGTGGATTAAAAGGACGCGCAGGAGGAGATGGCTTTGATGGAACCCCTGGCCGTCACGGTGGAAAAGGTAATAATCACGCAGAATCTCTAATGTACATAGATTAGTTAACTCGTTAAAAATGTCAACAAATTTTTATTTGACTTTATTGGAAAAACTTGAGAAACTTTAACGCCACGGTGTAAATGTTAAGAACTAAATATTTACGTTAGTAAATAGATTGATAAATTTTAACTCGAACAGAATAGTGCAGAATAAAGGTTAACAATCGGCATGGGTAAAATTATTTTGGGAAGGTTACAAATTATAACTTACAATAAAATAAAAGTGAAAGCAAAAGCTAGCTTCATCCAGACTTTTTACTTATACTGAAGTGATTTGCAGTGGTTACACAACTATCGCAAATTTTTGAATTTCACATCTTTTATTAATTTTGCACGCACAACTTAATAAATACGATGAATAAAAAATATAATCATGTCGATCAGTCATTAACCAAAGATAATCAATAGACACAACATCATGTAAAATTATTACAAGTTTTATATTACGTACATAACTTAGGTGAAAGAGGTGACCCTGGAAGTGGTGTGTTATCCGGAGATCCTGGATTACCCGGATATCGAGGCCAAAAGGGAGAGCGTGGAATGGAAGGTAATTACAATATATTACAAACCCGGTTAATTGAAATTAGCGCATTATTTCAGTTAAAAACTTAAATCGGTTTATATATTTCATTCTGCAGGTCCTCCAGGCTTGGATGGAAGAGACGGTCCAACGGGGTTAGATGGGTTACAGGGAATGAAGGTATGTAAATGCTAGAAAAATTTTCCGACCACATCTCTTGAAAAATAAATTATGATCCGACCGAGCTTGACATTAAAAAACATTTTTATAGGGTGCCCCAGGCCAAAATGGATTCCCAGGAATTAAAGTAAGTGCAAAAGTTAACTGATAACTTGAAAACTCATTTAGCTAGTCAACTACCCACCATGTTTAAAATTAAGATAAAATGCAATTTGGATAATCATTAAATTCGGTTTAAAAGCATACTTTCTATAACGTGATTCAATTGTTTAATTTAGGGAGAACGTGGCGAACCTTTACCCGGTAATTTATTATCAATGCATTTGAAAAGCGTGTTTAAGTTAACTAATTGATTTGATTATAAATTTTAGGTCTTCCTGGACTTGTCGGATTACCAGGATTACCTGGACCGGTGTGTTTGAAAGATTAACTACATTAATTTTAGAAAATTAAAAATCTTATCTTATTCTTCTATGTAGTATGCATATACATATTTGATTCTGCAAGCGCAACCGAATCGAAATTATGCAAACCTATCTGTAATCATCATTAACTTTTGCAGGTTGGATTGCCTGGAATTTTTGGTCCATCTGGACCCATGGGTGGTAATAATGATACTAATAATATCAGGTTTTTATGAAGGTTTTCATGTGCCTATCTTAAATAACGTAGACGGGAAATTACGTAGCATGATCTCATGAGTTTTATAAATACATAAAGCTCTGTCACATATCAATTTTTCATGAAAACCTCTAAAGTTTATTATTGTACTGACCTTACCAATAAATTCCAAATTCGGTACAAAAATCCGTATTATAAAATAAGGTCAAGGACGAAACGGACAAGATGGATTTCCTGGCCCGAGGGGAGATCGTGGAAGGCCTGGAGTTCGAGGTAAGCAATTATCAACTCATTTTTTCACGAGATACGGAATCATAACTCAATTGATATCGTAACCTGACCTACATGATCCCCACTTTACTCGGTCAAAAATTAAAAAACAGAGTCGTTAATTCTTCAGCAAAGATCACCATCTACCAATGACTGTTCTTTGTTTTATCTAGGTATCGAAGGAGACGTTGGACCTGACGGACCAGATGGAAGAGTTGGCAGGACAGGTATTTGTAGATATTTAGTTTATTTCGATGTGACACCAGTTTAAAAAAATATATAAAGTTAAATTTGATTACAGGAAATCCGGGTCCATTCGCAGAAAAAGGAGATCAAGGCGACACTGGGACACCTGGTTATGTTGGCTTTAAAGGTAGGGTCATCAAATCATAATAATTTGTTGGTGCATATTCACAAGTAATTATGGTTTGAATGAGATTTCTGATAAATCTTGATCTGATCTGCTTTGAAATATTTTCCGATCAATTCTGTCCATCTAGAGCTAAAAATATATTTTTGACAATGAAAGTCTGCTTTGATATCTGATTACAGAATAATATCAGACATTTTCATATTTAACTCTTTTAAAGGTTTGCCTGGAAATCTTGGATATTTGGGAAGAAAAGGTGAAATTGGAGAGTGGGGACCTGTTGGGTTGGATGGGTTGCAGGGAGCTCAAGGAATTACCGTAAGTAAATATTATTGATATTTGATAAGTCAAAACAATAAGCTTACTTTCGTATGAAATTCATAAACTATATAAAAGATCTAGAAACTGTATATGTAAAGCTGAGCATTTTAATTTTTTCTATTACATTTGCTTAACTGAGTTAACCAAAAATTTCCATCATTGAAGTACTTTACGCACGAACCTTACATATGAAAAATGCTTGCAAAAATTTCACGCACAAAAAAATTCAATTATCCATTTTCTTAACAAAATCTGTAAAAAAAAAACCCAAAATTTCTAAAGTTTCATTAACCTTGAAATTGTTGCACAATGTATGATTTTATTTATGTCAATCATATTACACATCCCCAAATGTCATCTGAGATATATGCATATGGTATATAAACATACAAATTATTTAATGAACGGTTTCTTAATTTAGCAATTCTTTTGTAAAACTAAACTTCATATTTTGAATTAAGCCAGTGAACATGGAAAGAAGCTTTTTATGCAGAGTATATCAATATCAGAATAAAACAATATCTTTTACATAAAAAATTCTTTCGTATGCATACGAAAAATGCACAATTAAATGTACTTAAATGTAATTATACATTTAAAATTCCACTCAAAAAATTCCAATTATATTTTATTCCAATTCTCATTTTTATACAAAATTTATACAAAATTCTTCCCCCAGATTATTCGGAACTTCGTCTTAACCGTAGAACCCTCCCAATCCGTAGCCATATCCAAGGCCTAATCCGTGTCCGAATCCGAACCCTTTTCCGTACCCGTAGCCAAGACCATATCCAAGTCCGAGTCCCTTGGCGTAGCCCAGACCAAGTCCCCCGTACCCTCCGTACAAACCGTGACCGTAAAGCCCAGCCCCGTAAAGACCAGCTCCGTAACCAAATCCTACGCTAGAAGCTGTCGAAAGGTCATTTTTCTTTTCCTCTGCCGCACAAGCGACGACCACCAAGGCGGCGACGATGAAAGCGACTGCTGCCTGCAAATTATATTTAGAAAAGGTTAAAATTTTGACCGTTTGTTCAGAAATTTTCGAGTCAAATCTTACAACAATTCTGGCCATTTTTCTGTTTAGATGAGATGAGTTGCGAAGAAGTTGTTAATTAACTTGGGTTGAATAACGGTTTGTACCTTTTTGGGGAAAAATTGTGGCATTTTATACCAAAACGTGGTCTCCAGTTGGTGACATTCTTGCCGACACGACTCCAGTTATTTCAGCACAAAAAACAATTGAATTTGAATGAAGTTATCGCCATAAAATTAGCACTAAATGGCACATGGGATTGATTTCCTCATACTGTTTGGTCCATTTTATTGTCAAATTATGCACGTGTTTTTAGGCAGGCACGATTCCCGTCATGGTACCAATTTTGGTTTAATTTGGAGTTCAAGTTGAAGAAGATTTTTTAGGCAGAAAATAAAAGGGAATCAAATCGTATTTAACTATTACTGCATAGTTTGAACTGCATTATATCCCAAAAACAATGAACTCGGCGTTAGTGATACACTAAATACGTAAATAGGAACTATGACAGAAGTGAGATTTTCTGCAAATCATGCCAAAACAATTAAAAGTTAATTGTAAATACAAGCAAAATTAGAAGAACAAAATGACTAGACGAAGCTATTGTCATTGTGAAGGTTGGGATCAGGTTGTTACTTAAATTACATGTAATGTTGTAATTCCGTTAATGAGAATTAGAAATATTAAGCCATATTTACTTAATTAAGATTCATGTTATAGTTTGCATAATGTTTGAACTAATTATTAATAATCAATTACAGATAATTACTTCACTTAATTTAAAGTTGAAATTGAGTACTGGAATTTAATTGAATTGAATATTATCCAGAAATTCAAATAAGGCCAATACAAAATTAATACAACAATTCAAAATTATTTGTGTGAATACAACTCTTCAGTTCAGAAAAATAGTGGCACGGAGACAGATCACTTATTGTCATTATTTGTCAAGAAGTGTGTATATGTACATACGTATGACCAGTTTCTGTGTGATATATGTAGGTAATTACACGTTAGTGAAATTGACATCAGATTTTTAAGGACTCTTTGTAAACATGAATGTTGTATTTGCATTCGGGAAAATAAGTAACAATTTCTCCAAATTCGTGAAAGCACTAACTTATCTGTTTTTGCAGGGTGCTCCCGGAGACAGAGGCTTCCCCGGGTATCGAGGTCAGCCTGGAGATGATGCTACCTTCGGAAATGCTGGCGATATAGGAGATTCGGGTATAAATTAATTACATCCCTAAGATTTCACACTCTAAGAAATATGCACCTATTATCACTGGACGGTGAAAGCATGCGCTGGCGTGGTCAGTTATTTCTATACGTGCGGTGACCTTTGCCAATCGTGTTGCGTCACTTACTGTCACCACCGGGTGATTATAAAGTTACATTTGTGCATTTTCTAAATTTTTCTGTAACTTAATTAGGATCCGTTGGAGAAAAAGGCTACCCTGGTCGGAACGGTTATGACGGACTAAAAGGTTAGCGAGCAAAAATGTTTTTTTTTTCTTTTCATGTGCCAATCGTTTGCCACATATTGTTTTGGGAATATAGCTGACCTTAAATTAACATGGTAAACTAATGCATTTACGAACTGTTTAATAATAATTGCAGGAGAGCGTGGATCTTACGGGGAGTCAGTTCCTGGCCCAATTGGAGGTGTGGGATCGAGAGGAGATGTTGGCTGGCCGGGAATGAAGGGCTTCATGGGAGAAATTGGTTTACCTGGTGTTGCTGGACCCGCTGGCGAGCCGGTAAGGCTTTAACTAATTACGGTTTGGTTGATTCTTTAGATCAATAAGTGTGATTTTTATGGGATTAACTGTGTAAAAAACAGGGCGACATCGGAAGAGCTGGTTTTGCCGCATTAAATGGCCGAAAAGGATTCAAAGGGACGCAGGGTTTCGCAGGGAGTCCAGGACCGGGACCACAGGGACTAAAAGGTATCTAATTGAAACTAATATTTACATATTATCTCGCTCTTGGTTAATTTAATAAAAATTATTAAGTAGCTTCAGCTACTTTATGCGAAGACTTTGTCTGTCTGTCTGTCTGTCTGTCTGTCTGTCAGTCCGTCTGTCAGCAGGATAACGGAAGAACGGATTGAGATAATCGAAATCGGTTTTCGCCATTATACATATGACCCTAGGGGGAGGATTCTATCAACTTTTGGGGGCAACCGGACCACCCCCCTTGGCGCCAGGGGGTGTGGTCGGGGCAAAATGAGATTTATAGTGCAATTTGATCTATGGATGAAATAGAGTGAAATGAAGTGATCCCGAGTTGTGCCACACCCCCTCCGCGCCAGGGGGTGTGGTCGGGGCAAAATGAGATTTAAAAAAATTGAATCTATAGGTGAAATGGAGTGAAATTGAGTGTTTTCGCGATGTCATGGGAGTGGTTGGGGTGAAGTAGTCTGAAGCTACTTCCGTATGCGCGTTTGCGACGGTTTATTAGCTATGTATATGTACTACGTTAATTGTTTCACTTTTAATAGGAATGGACGGCGATCCTGGCCTTTTTGGCCGAAATGGTCTTCCTGGAGATCCTGGGGTAAGTTATCAAGTTGACAAAGGTCAATCAAAAGTATCTCTTCGTGTTACCAAAATTACACGGTTGGAAAGTAGCTTGATTCAATGATTGAAAACCATTCAGTTATCTTTCAATATCATATTCAATTGCACTCAATACTCAAATTTTAATATCGACCTCCACATGTCACAATTAAATTAAAATTACATATCAAAATTAGAGATACACAACTAAAACTAAGGGCAATGCCATTTTCGATCCAACTTCAAGTTTGCTGATTACAAAGATCCTAACGAATTGTGTCTTAATTTGAAATAATCGATCAACAAATTTGAATTTTTTGTTGTATTTCACAATGATTCCAAGTATGGTCAGTCATAAGGGATATAAGTAATACTAATTTTCTTCATTTTTACACAGCCAATGGGAAAATCAGGTCTCTTCGGATTAGCTGGCATCAAAGGATCCGTAGGAGATCCTGGTTATATGCAATCTGGGTTTGGAGGACCTCCTGGAGATTGGGGACCCAAAGGTGTCCGTGGGGATAATGGAACACCCGGATTTTCTGGAGTCAAGGGACGCAGGTATGTAACATGTATTGGTTTTCGCTCGAAAATTAATTGATAAGGATAGTGCAAGTGGTATGCATAATCATATTCCAAATTTGCACATATAGTCTCAAATATCAAACTTTTCCTTGTGAAAGTAGGAAATAATGTCTCATTTTCCACTTTAGGGGAGATCCTGGCCGAGTAGGACCCCCTGGTCTGGAGGGATCTCCTGGGGCCAAAGGTCAAAGGGGTACTACTGGACCCATCGGTTTAAAAGGTTAGTATTGGAGAACTACTGAATCCAATCAAAGTAATAAATTTCCAAACATTGTTTGAAATTTTTATTTTCTGCTGTCTCCGTACATATGTATTTATGCAAATATTTAGCCCCTGAAGCGCTCGCCCTTGCTGGGGATATAGGAGAACCTGGATCGCCTGGAAAAGTTGGCAGACCTGGCTTTCACGGACAAAAAGGAAAACCTGGAGATTACGGGAGAAGTAAGTTCACATTAACAATAATCAGGAGATTAAACATTTAACAATAATTACTCAACGAATAATCAGATGGGCTGCCTGGATTGCGAATGGTCGGACCGGTGAGAGTAGGACAAAAGGGTTTGCCTGGAGAGGATGGATTACCGGGAGGTCAGGGATTCAGGGGAAAAGATGGGTTGCAGGGAAGACCGGGTTTAATCGGAAGAAAGGTTGAGCAAATATACTTGTTTTTTCCTGACAAACAACTTTTATTTTAATTGTAAAATATTTTTACGCAATTTTAGGGAAGCATTGGCGACCCTGGATTTGCGGGATCACCGTAAGTGGTGCTAGAAAAAGAATTTGCACATGTTGAATATATTTATGTACATACTAGTTTGAGAGTTCGTTTAAACTTGAAAATATATAAATATACCACATTTTAAATCAATTTATAAATATTTACCAATATATAATACTCTAAATTTTTAGGGCTACTTCATTTACTGGCGAACCAGGCGTCAGTGGAATCCCTGGAGGTCGAGGGTTCAAGGTATTAAAACTTGTTAAACATGTGCGACGATTGAGCTTAATTTACAGTAATTGTATTCATTACACGGATAGAAGGTGTTATTAGTTTTTGGCTGAATATCGAAATTAGATTTAATTTGATGTTACATATTTTGTACGAGTACAGATTTAGACAAATCCAATGACATCACACTTTCTGAGATTCTATGTAATTGTTCAATTTTTGTGCAATTACAAAAAAGCCGTGTGATGCTATTTCTATAAATATATATTTATCATGCCCCATTTTTTAATTAGGCGTGTTGCGTTTGTCTGGATTATGACCAACCTCCTAGAATCTTGACTACTATTTAATTATTACTTAAATTTTGCAGGGCCCTCCCGGTGACTCTGGATTTGACGGGCTACCAGGATTGGATGGTCTCAAAGGTGATTAATTAATTATTCATATAGGAGTGATTATTTATATCGATTGAAGTATATAAAAAAAATGCATAGCTAATGTGAAATTGGAAGATGGATTTTAATGTGGGTAAAAAATGGTAAAAAGTATGCAAAGAAGAGCTGATTTGAAGGTCATTCGTAAACAATTAATTGATAATGTGCATATGCTGAATTGGTGATGCAGTTATATTTATCGATTAATCAGCAATTATCACTTAATTCGTAGGAATGCACGGCGATCCTGGATTTTCTGGAAGACCTGGCGCCTTTGGCGAGAAGGTATAGTGTCACATAACACAAGCTTAGCTTAGCGTAGTAAAAATTAGCTTATAAAATTTTTTCAACACAGGGAGAAAAAGGAGAGGCTGGAGTACCGGGATTTGTCACAGCTTATTCGAAGGGTTTACCAGGAAGACCAGGTGATTAATAAATACTTCAACGTAATTCTATGTTTATGTGGTGTATCTAATAGATTCTTTTTAAAGGTAACCCTGGTCGACAAGGCGCAATTGGAACTCCGGGCTTATCTGGATTACCCGGTCCGTCTGGCGAACTCGGCCGAGATGGACGACCCGGTTTACCTGGCTTAAGCGGGCCTAAGGTATTTTACAATTATAAACAAAGCTCGAATAATCATTTTCATAACATGCACACAAACACCATTAATCGAATAATTTAAACGTTCCATCTCAAAGGGAGTCAGAGGCGATGGTGGGATAGCTGGTAGAGAAGGAAATGAAGGTCGCGTCGGTCAATTCGGAGCAAAAGGTTAGTGCATTAATTTAATACTAACTTGTGCATCAATATATTTATCTTAACCTTTGACCACCCCCTCAAGGTGACCCTGCCCCACCCGGACCACCACCAAAGTCACGAGGTTATTTTTTCACTCGACACTCTCAAACAGTTCGGGACCCTATTTGCCCTACGGGAAGTACACTTCTCTGGGCTGGATACTCACTTTTACATCTCACCGGAGACGGGAAAGCGCGTGGGCAAGATTTGGGTAAGATCTTATCTAACCTTTAAGTTAATTCACCGACAAATGCATACATTCCCTGTAATAAATGAATCCATGGCTTGCAAAGTATTTTGTGTGAAATGTCAGTCATCGATCGATGAGATTAATTTTGGACTTCTTTTATTTTTCAGGGGCACCGGGTTCATGTCTCGCCAAATTTTCGACGATGCCGTTCCTCTTCTGTAATTTGAACAATGTGTGCAATTACGCGTCGAGAAATGACTACTCGTACTGGCTCTCGTCATTCGAACCACTCCCCATGATGATGATGCCCATTACTGGACTGGAAATTAAAAAGTATGTGTCGCGTTGTGCCGTTTGCGAAGCACCGTCGACCGTTATTGCCGTCCACTCACAAACCACGGATGTTCCAGACTGTCCAAATGGGTGGTACCAAATGTGGAATGGCTACTCTTTCCTCATGCACACAGACGCTGGGGTAAGCATTATAAGTTTGTTTGGGCTTATCAAGTACTAACATTCTATACAAACATCTCTTTACAAATTTCGCCACAATTTCCAAAAAAACTGACTTCGAAAATAATTCTTCAAAATTTTGTTCTGCAGGCGGAAGGAGGTGGTCAGCCTTTAGCATCGCCGGGTTCATGTCTTGAATTTTTCAAGCCGTTGCCCTTCATCGAGTGCATCGGTCAAGGGAAGTGCAACCTCTTCTCGTCCGCTTTCTCGTACTGGTTGGCTACTATTCCCGAGTCAAAGCAGTTCATGCGCCCAGAACACGAAACCACAAAATCAGGCAGCCACGAGAACAGGATATCGAGATGTTCTGTGTGCGGCAGGAGGCGACCTGATGAATTGACTGCGGGGTCAGCTCAACCAGGATCGCAGCAGGGTAGGAGGGTATCCAACTTCGGGTAGATTTCGGGTAGATTTGTAATTTTCATATAGTGGGGCGAAATTCGCAAGGGAATTGTGCTATTTTTTTGCACGAAATTAATCCAATTTCTAATCATAATTGTGTAAATGTCGATGTATCTTAATTACAGAAGCACGTGTAGTCAAATAATTATGATAGCATAAACAACGTGTGCCAAAACTATACAATTTTGCCAAAAATTTAAAATTTAAAATATTTATGTGCGTTTCGTTCAAACCAATTTTGAATTTTTGTTACCAGAATTATAAATACTTAATTAACAGAATAGGAATTGATGTACTTAACTAATTGTACGGAATTATTTTTTATGTTCACGGAGATGTAACCCGTCACCCGTAATAACACTGCCAATAATAATTACACTGCCATCTTATAGTAATTAACTATATGTAATAACTATATTTTAATTAGTATATTGTAAAGAGTAAAGTTTATATTTAATTAAAAATTGGAATTTGGATGACATTTTTAATCGGCATATATTTACAAGGGCGTTACTTGCATTTCATAACGTCTTCGAACAAAAAGTGTCACAGTTCTAAAACTATTTCACTCTCTGCTACATTACGAATGTGAAAAAAATTGCTGCTAATTTTATTGTAATGAAAAATGTGCGTATTGAGCAAATTGAAATTAATTTCTATAAAGAATTTCAAAATTTACAGCAAATGTTGAATATCTTGTTACATCTGCATACCATTTACATTAACTAATTATTATGTGCAATATAAAATAGAATTTAGATGTTTTGTGTCAACAGTAAAACGTTTACTTTTTAATGAAATTCATGGCGTTACGCCATGAATTAACTTAAAAAGTAAGCGTGTTAACCAGTTAACCCATGTATTTAACAAATCTATGAAAATTCAAATGCAGATTTTTTTTTAAAAAGCATGCATAAGGTACATACTTATGAGTAAAACATGCAAATAATCAACACCCTTGTCGTGTATTTTATAAAGTTTTTATTAATTTTGAAATTTGAATTTTTAATTTTGATGACATTTTTTGACCGGCATAATAATTCAACAACGGGTTTAAGTCTAACAAAAGCGTCACTCTTACAAAATAAACATATATCTACACGATACAATTTCTATTGAAAAAAAAACACTTGACTAATTTTAATACATTACTTTTTCACTAAATTTACCACATTTGGTTGGAGGTTTCATGGGACAAGATCTCTCAATTTGTGTATTTCTTTTTTTTACTTAATCGTATTCGTCTCCCCTCTACTTCTTCTTGTTCCAAATAAATTCTTGGAAAATTTGGTAAATACATCCCACCGTCAATGCCCCCACCACAGCACCCTAACAAAAATTTACATAGCGAATATAACCAATGTTTGTAAAAAAAAATAATAAAAAATGTATGCATCTCTAACCTGGGCAGCAACTCGGGTATGAATCAAAAACACGGAAACTTTCTGATCTCCACGGTTCTTGAATTTGAATGCAGCATATGCCAAAGCGAACAAAGCACCACCGATACCTGGACAATTACATTCAATTAGCACTTGTTAGCACAATTCGCAAATGTATCAAAACTCATGCATTCCTGCAAAACTCACCGGCAGGAACAAAGGGATTTTCTTTCGCCTTTGAGATAAACTTGCTCTTTTCCGTGTCATCGTAACTCGAACGGAAGTCGAGACGTTCGTCGCCCTGTAAAAAAATCGAAACAGGAATGAAATATAAAAATTTATACACACAAAACAGACTATAAATTCAACACCCACAATACCTGTGGCGCTCCAATTAGTACCTGCTTACTCATATCGAACTAGTTTAATTAAAACTGTTTTTTATGATTTTTATTTTAAAGCTGTTTTCCTCTCCGAGTCTCTTTGTAAACTGAATCTGCGATGTGATCCTGTTCCAAAGTTGGACAAAACAACAAAACAAAATTGGCCTTGGATGTTGTTTACTTGTGAGAGAAAGTTCCACAGTTCTACTGGATTCCAATCTTCGTCGTAACTTTGGTACAGGGTCGAACCAAGGTGATTGTACGGGAACTCTGTTCTTGTCCCGAGAGTTTGTCCTGGTTGTATAATATTCTGAAGGGCAAAAGAAAATAAAAGTTCAAAGCTTTGTTGACGGTAAATCTTCTTTACATATACTTAGCATATGTAATATACATCTTTAATTTTAAAGTAAATGCAAACTTGCATTGGAAAGTAGCTGAAGTTAAAGCATTTGTGAGAAATTGCGACTTGTTTAAAAACTTAAAGTTAGATAATCTCTTGTTTTGTTTTGCTAATAAATATGTAAACTAAGTATAAGTATATCTTTTTGCATAATTTTCAAATTTTCAAATGCAAAAAAGTTACATAAAAAATCTGGAAATTTGCCAGATGTTAATTCCATAATGGAATTTCCATTTCAGATTTTTATGCAGAAGTTACCAATATTTGTATAATTAATTTAATAGTGGATTTTGCTAAGATTGTCTTTTTGTCTTGACCCATTAGCTTCAAAACTCACAATTCGTAACTTCTTAATTAAAGCAGCAATTTCTCGTTAAAAATAAAGCCACCGACTTTTACCTGTTTCCTTCACAAGATATTTTACTTCACTAGACAAAAATTGTTTAAAAGCTTGAAGACTCTCACAAAATTAACCTTTTTAATCAACTTATGACTTGTCTGCGTGACCAGTTTTCGCAAGATGACGAAATAAATTTATAGAGCACGAGGATGTTTTCCTTGCAAAAATTATGTGGACGTGCGTTTGGACATGCAGAGCATGGCTTTCCAGACACCAGACAGACAAAAATCAGCTGCAGTTCTCACCGGCAAAATAACAACTGGAAAATGTGCAAAAAATCGGGTAAGTTATCAGTTTGCAGTTTTCTGAAAAACTGTGACTAATTAATTATTCAATATGATGACAAAAAATATAAAACACGTAGAAGGAATCAGGACTATATTTTAGCTACACTTTAAGTTTCGTTTTTTTACAAATAATAAATTGAAAAGTTTTTGTAGTCGATTTTTGTTATTAATTGCCCTAACCTAATTTATTTAATGCGACATTTACGTTATTGTTTTTCTAGAATTTAGGGGAGATCCATAAATTATGTCACGCAAGAAAGCCCTTTTTTAAGACCCCCCCACCCCTGTTGTCACGCCTTTGTCACGCTAGTCGTGACCCCTCCCCCCTCTTGTCACGTCACGCCTGAAAATGTTGTTATACATTTTTGAATCATGCAGAAAGTTGTCTTCAATCAGTTTACGTTGTTGAAACCATGAAAAATAGGGTTCGGAGGAATTTTTTAAATTGTGCAAATTGTTGGAGATTTTGTAATGTTTTAAATTGTTGCAAACTTATGACGATTTTTTGAAATTATGCAAACTTTACAAGCAAGGCCCTATGGCTCAGAGGTACGAGGGTAGGATTGTCACCACGCAGTCACACGTTCGATTCCTCTGGCGGGGAAGCTATTGCTAATCCTACTCGGCTCGGTGTTAGTACGGGGTAGGTGCTGTCTCGTGACAGGGTGAGCCCAGCCATACGGAATGGCAATGTCACTGTGTACAGCCCCTAGCAGAGTCCGTTCTCTGTGGGGATGAGACAACTTGCTACGAAATTATGGCAAGAAGTCGCCATCTGAGGCTGAAAAGCAGAGAAATCTGAGTCCTGACGATGTAAAACTGTCACATTTTAACATTTTAACATTTTAACATTTTATGGCATTATGAATTTTTTTAATTTGCAAACAATTGGATATTGTGCAAATTATTTGAAGGCTTGAACAAAATGTAGAAACCTGGTTTAAAATCTCAAAATCTGAAACTTGGTTGAAAGTTTGGATGCTTTGGATCAAAGGTCTGTTTGATATTCGGGTATATATCTAAATAATTGCGAAACTGTAGTTTGGTCGTAGTCGAAGAATTAAAATGTGAGTTAAAGTTTGCATTAAGTTAGGCCTCCAAAACGTTATGTCACAGATCGGCCGAACCCCCCCTCCCCATATGTCACACTTTGTCACGGATCCTTGGACCCCCTCCCCCCCATCTTCAGCGTGACATAATTTATGGATCACCCCTTATTTGTCAAAGATTTTGCGATAAACGTGTTTAACTTATTTGCACAGGGTCGGATGTGAACGGATTTTTCTACGGAGTCAATCAATACTAAAAAATATGACATGAAGAATCACAACACAATTCTTTAACGATAAGCCAAGAAGTAATGGCTGCCGCTGCAAATAACGTGACCGGTACCGTTTCCGACGACGAAGGACGGCCTTCCATTTTCGAACTTGTCTCCCAACAAGGTTTCGCCCATGCATTGCGACCCGCATTTTTCCACATTGTTAAGGTAAATTCGGAACTACGCTAATATACCTGCTAATATCTATAAAAATAAAAATTTCATCTTATTTGCAGACCTTGGCCGAAGGATACCCGGCCAGATGGCTACCTCCATTTATGTACCGAAACTTTGACGAAGTATACCTCGCATTTGACTCCTTAGTGCAGTGGCATTACATGTTAACCCGAGGTATTAAATATTTTCATAAACATTTCCATTAATTATTAAACTAATTGTAAGTTAAATAGCCAATGAACGACTGTCCCTTCTTTGTAGGAGCCACTCTCAGCGAAGCGTTTTACGGTTTAGAACGAGTCACCAAAAACGGAAAGATAAACACTAACAGGGTTAAAGTGTCATTTATCCTATCCGTGATCCTTCCCTACCTTACGACCAAGTTGGATAAGGTGCATAAAACCGAAAGTGATAAGCTCAGTGGCGCAGTTACAAATTCGGTACGGACCTAATCTTTTGTTTGGCATTTCAGTCTTTTAGATTTGTGGGTTAATTTTTTGTTGTATCATAGTCTTTGTAAACTGTGTAAGTATTTGTAAGTTGACGGATTTTACAAAGTTTACTCGGTTATTAGCAAGTAGCATTGCATTGAAGTATGAAATGCCCTCGATTTATATAAAAAAATCTTACAGCTGTGGACATTACATGCAATTTGTTTTTCAGGAACAAGACCCTACATCTTGTAGAGGAAGAAATCCTAAACTTGTTCTCGTCTTCATCAAAGCCTATCCATTCGTCAAAGCATTCCTCGACCTTATCAACCTTATCTGTCTGCTCCGATATGCGTTCGGCTATTCGAAATCACACCACTTGCTTTTCCTCAGTCTCGGCCTCCGCTTAACTTATGCATCTCCATCGAGGGCGAAATTTATCCAAGAGAAACAATCGGAACTTTTCTCCCCTAAATCGTGGAGGTATATTACTTGAAACCAGCTTTTTAAAAAATTGAACAAACATTGCATTAATTCTACAAATAATTACTTCCAAAAATTGTCACCTAGAAAATACTATTTGTGGTAATTATCAAATGTGCTAAATGTACCTAATTTATTTGCTATACTTTCCAGCTTCTCCCGATTTCCAACCCTCCTACTCCGCTCATTGGGCGAAAGTGTTCTCTTCGGGGTCGAAATGGGCTCATTTTTCGTCCAATTTCTCGACTGGTGGTACAACGATCGGAGAAGAGAACGCGTTACCCTGACTTCACTTCCGGTCCCACCAGCTTTAAGTGAAGCGGACCAGAATTTCGTCGCTATTACACCACAGGAGAAAAACTTGTGTCCCTTGTGCAGGAGGAGGTTCAAGAATGCGACAGCCTTATCAACTAGCGGGTGAGATTATCATATTTTATGAAGATTGCATTTATCATCATGCTTACTTATGTACTTAATTGTTCTTATTTCTAGACTCGTTTTCTGCTACGGATGCATCACGCCATATCTCAAGACTCATGGAAAATGTCCCCTTACATCCATCACATCGAATATGCACCATTTAATTAGGATATTTAACTAGTCAATTTACTCAACCAAAACATAAACTAATGATATTAATACTGCCAATTTAACAAAACTTGTGCATTTACTGTTTCACTAATTTCCGATATGTATGTAGTACATACTATGAATATCATTTGCTAAACATTTATTTTTTTAAATTAGACATACATTTAAAATATTCATATAATAAGTAACTTAAATACATACAATTTAGAGAAAAAAATCCTACTTAAATGATCAATCTTCCTCAAACTTGCAATTTGCACTCTTCTCATAACAACAACATATAATACAACCCATCTCATCGCATAAACGAAACCTGCTAACCTGCTAACCACATCGCATAAACGATCAATGTTACAATCTGCACTTATCCATGTCCAAAATAAATCAGCCTGAGCAAAAAGTTGCAAAAATAATTCGCAGTCTACAGGATTCGAACCTATGCGGGGAGACCCCAACAGATTTCTAGTCTGTCGCCTTAACCACTCGGCCAAGACTGCTTATGGAGAAAATGATCCTTGTTACTCCTTAAAGTCTCACACTACGAGTTTACATTTTATGACGATTGGGGTTATTAAACATTTTAAAGTAAATAACGGCGTTTAAATGGGCTAAATTTATACCAAAAAGGGAAAAGTTGTTGGATCGCTTTATTGTGCGGAAATGTTTGTATTTCATTATAATATGTGACATACGCGTGTCATTTGGGTGTTCCATAAAATGTAATTACTCGAGTACTAATATTTTTATAATTAAAGATTATAATGCCAATTAGACAATGCATTTTATTTTAATTTCAGTATTAAACTCCGTTTCACATTGACCAGAGGATCCGAATTATTTTATTATTTGACACCAGTTATTTTTATTTTGGCGTAAAAATCTTACAAAATAATTTTTATTTTGGCGTAATAATCATACAAAATAATTTTTATTTTGGTAAAAATCATGCGAAATATAATAATTAAATAATGTGAAATGGAGTTTAGTTCTCAATAGTTCTCATATGTACAGGGTGGTTAAAATGTCACGCCACAATGGAAAATTTTTCGATGGGAAAAATCCATAAATTTCCATTAGTTACCGAAATTTTGTCTCTAAAATGCAACATTTTAAGAATTTTGTCATCAGTTTTGATAATAATTTATAAAAATCTCAATCCCAAATCTTGTAACTAATGGAGATTTAGGGACTTTTCCCATTGAAAAATTTTCCATTGTGGCGTGACATTTTAACCACCCTGTACATATTTATGTAACTACCGATCATTGATCATACAACATAACATAATATTCATTTGCATCTAAATATCTCATCAAGATGCAAAAAATCTCTATTTTCATTTACTTTTCCATATCCGTCTCAACTATACCATACACATTCGTTCATATTTTTAGCGTGCAATCCACTTTCATGCTTTCCTAATTGCACCGAGAAAGGTAACCCAGCAACTTTCACCAAACATTTCCCCATCCATTCTATACCAAGATTATTTGACACTTTATCAATCTATAAGGTTACGACAAATGGCCGAGTTACAAAATAAATTTTCATTTTTAGAAAACTAAAAATTGTTGAAAATATGCCATTGGTTACAGTTTTGGAAATGTAATTTTGTAACCGTCATGTCCGTCTGTCTGTCCGTCTGTCTGTCCGTCCGATCATTTTACGATAACTTTCGTTAAACTCGGCCTAGCGACTTTAAATTTGGTATACATGTAGTATGTGACAAATGAGGAGTTAAGTTTGAAGATGGGCGAAATCAATTAAGTGGTTGACCTGTGGTGGTCATCTGGGTGGGTGGAGTATTTCAAAATCCTCGTTGAAAGCTGTAAACTGGCATTGAGATTGCTAATGGTGTCTAATTGAAGAATATGAATTTAAATTGGGAAAATTTCCGACTGGAGGGACCCGATACCATACCGATTTTTGAAAATTATCCATCGAGCTGAAATTAGTGCAGAGATTGCTAATGACCCCTGATGAAAGAATATGAATTAAAACATTTTTATGTGGAGGGACCTTTAAGGGGGTGACCCATATCGATTTTCAAAAATTGTATTAAAAAGATGAAATTAGACACTCGTAGAAGACTGAAATTTGGCACGACCCCGTGGGGGTAGACCAGATTGAAAAATATGAACTAAATATTAAGATTTTTTCCACAGAGATTTAACAAGGTGACCCACGCTGCTTTTTATATTGGTAGAATAAAAATAAAATTCGGTATCATGGGTAAGGGCACATCAGACTAAAGAATATGAATAATGTTCATATTCATCGAATATGAATATTTTTGTGGGCCCAGCCCAGAAGACTGAGACCCGTACTGGTTTTAAAATTGGTCAAGGAGCTGAAATTTTGCATGCTGGATTGTGGGAACATTTTTGCCGATTACGAATAGTAGTTGGTGCAGGTCGTCTGACTAAAGTTTAGAAGCTGACACTGACCCTGACTCGGGCTAAACAAACGCTGCACACTGGGATTTCAAATTTAATTTTCGAAATAGTACCCTCGAGATTTTGATCTTAAAAAATCAAGCTAAAAATTACGATGATTTCATCTTAACGAATAACGAATTAAATCTCTATGTCTGCCCATTCAAAAGTTATTAAAGGTCAAAGTCGTTGGTACACACGACCATGGGACGTGTACCAACGATTTAAAAAATAATTATTTTATTTGTAACTCCACCATTAGTCGCAACCGTTAAAAGACACAAGAGTTACCTAGATACTAAATGTCAAGCAATCGTGATTCTATACCCGAACACACTCACTTTCATAATAGTATTGAGATTAGTAGAAAGTTCAAAACTTTAGCAAAAAGTTGATTTTTTTCCTTAATTTGCATAATTAACGGTAATCATGAGTCGTCAGAATTTGCTCGAGTTGGACGAAATTACAGGTATTCATAAATCTCAGGTACAATTTACAACTGGTAGGACTAGTATTTATTAACCAATTAATGTCCACATAGACCGCCGTCCGAAGACTCGACTCCCACCCATGCCACCCATAAAGTCACGACGCATCCCTCAATCCTCCCCCCTTCAAACTGCAACGTCTTCTCGACGCCAACAAAAATACGGCGGCGATGATGAAGGAGATTCAGATTCCGCTATTGCTTCCATTTTGGATGAAACGACGCCAAAGGCAAAACCACGACCGAAACCGAGGTCACATCACCATCGCGATATTGAGGATACCGAGGTCACAACGAGGTCACGCGTTATTTTGCCAAGTAAGAATTCCTCCAGTGCCTCACTCTCCAGTCCAGGTCGTGGGGATGGACATGTCTCCAAATCGGCGTACGACAATCCCACATTCTATCGCGATCAGGGGGACGACGAAGGTCATCGAGGTCACTGTAAATCTAGTTTTCAAACTCCTCCGGGAAGAGATGAAGGTCACCATCGTGGTAACCGATTTAAAGAAATTACGACGGATTCTGAAGCAAATATGGTATCAAACAAAAGCGAAAAGTATTAAACAGATGTATATAAATTAAAATCGAGTGACATCAAATATTTTATGGCCATTTTCAGGAAGGTGACGAACCAGAAAAGGACCGTAATCCGAAAAAAGCGTCACCATCATCTAGAAAACGCAATAAACATAAGCCCCCATCCGATTCCAGGCGAGGAAGTATTTCTTCACAAAATGTGAAACAAGGCCAAGGTGGGCATGTCACGGTTGAGATTGAAAAAGAGGTTGATAAACAACCGGATGTTGTGGAGCCTCCTCCCACAAAAAGTAAGCCTCTGGGTCGAATTTGGCAGAAATTGTTGTCCAGAGGAGGGTCCAAAAAACAATCGAAACAAGAACAATCCATTGATATCGCTGAGGCGGATCCTCCGATAACCAACCCCAACGATAAGGATAAGAGCGAAAATAAGAACAAGGAAAAGCTGGAAAAAGTGAGCAAAATTGATATCGAGTCATCATCATCGGAACAAGACGATGATAACCCCACGCCTTTATCATCCCGTAAGAAACCTCCAATAACAAGGAGCCCGAAATCATTATTCCAAAAGAACAAGGACAAAATAAACATTTCTAAACCAGATTCCGACTATCACCCCCAACGGAGTCGTCATTCTCCTCCCGTTCAATTAAAACGCAGCCCAAATATAAATGTAAAAAGGGACTCCGACAGTACCAACACTGACGACGATGATGAAATCATGACAATACGCGACAAAACACGACCAACATCGTCATCCGCTAAAAAATCCGTGGTGAGGACAAAAGCACGTCCCCAAGAATCTAGTCCTCCTCAACGGAATAAATCACCACCACCCGCGGAGTATGACCCAGCCCTCTTTTTCGGAATCATGATCCACTCCTCCGACCTGCTCCCACTTGACGCCAACGTTCTTCACCCACTCGTCAAGGTCACCCTGTTAACGCAGGATGGTAAACCGGTAAAGAAATGTGACCCTTATACCGTCCAAAAATCGTCGTCGTCATCTCCAGTTTCCGTTCCCAAAAAGCCGAAGCACTACAGAGGTCACGTGCATGAAGAGAACGTCCTTCCCGTCATGACCCAACCGTTCCCATTTTCCTTTGCTTCTGCTGACCCCAAGGTCATTCCCGCCTGGGAAGAGCTTCTCCTTTTTGAGGAGCCTTATCATAAATTCCTCTCCCAAGTTGGGCATGACCTTATCGTCTTTTTCGAAATTATGGACTTCCTTCCCATGAGCAAGGTCACCGGTCCAACGTGGCATGATGGCGTGCATGGTGAGATCATATATATATTTATCTAATATTTGAAAACTTACACTAATATTTATGTACGTACATAGGGCATGACGTAGGATGGTACAAGGTCGCGTGGGGGTTTCTAAAGCCGGTGGGCGCAAACGGGATATCCAACACGGATAAGATGTTGAGACTCCAGTTGTTTAAACCGTTGGCGAAACTGAGGAAGAAGGAGGTGTTAGATGGACCGGAGGTAACTATAGCGGACAAAATTTGACCTTCACATGGATTGACATTCACTTTATTTAAATCTGCGCAAGTTTTGCACTGTGGCAATTTAAATTGTGGCTTTTTTTACTGACCAGGTCTACTCCTGGTGGAAATGCGGCCGACGAGAAAAGTTGAAAAACACGACGCTCTACGTGACCGTGAAGGGAATCTGCCCTCCAGTCCCGACCACAAACTCGGCCACCTCTCTACGTCAACTCCTCTCCATGCGGAAAGAAAACCTTACCGACGCCATCATCGAGGCACAGTTGTCCAAAAAGGACGGGGAACGAAAACGCAGTGGAAGAAAGGTATACCGAGACGCGATTTTTGCCAAATTTTCACAAAATTATGAAAAATAATTAATACAACCTACCGTACAATTTGTAACAAAAACTCGTGATTTTCTTGACAAATTGATTTACAGATTAAGTGTTTTTGTCCTTTCTAAAATATTACTTCTATTTAAATTATAATTTTAGCCTAAAAAGACCGACCCCCGCAAATCAACAGCCTGGACCCGTCTGGAAGGTCAGAGTTGTAAAGTGCCAAACAAATTGGTCGCCGCCCTTCCCTCGTCGCCTATCGAGTCCCTCAATTTAACCATATCTGGGAACGTCCACGCCGTCAAGTTCTCTCCCTGCGGGTTGAAACTCGCCGTTGGGCTGGACACCGAAGACCTCCACGCCGTCTTGCTCTTTGATGTATGTGTGTCACTAAAATCATAGACATTGAATCATATTTATTAATCCTACCCTCTTATTTAAAGATCCCGACCGGAAATCTGCTCAAGAGCTTGAAAAATCATCACGGCCTGATTTATGACTTGGCCTGGAAAGAAGTCAGTGGTGTCGAGGGGTCGTCGTATTATCAGTATTTGGCTTCTGCGTCGGCCGATTCGACCGTTTGCATTTGGAGCATGAAGAACAATAACGAGACCACTTTACGCATGGTGAAAGTAAGTGAATTTTAGTATTTGGTCAAGGTCAAATTATTCCTGATCTACATCTTCCCCTAGACCCTACATCATCCCTCTTTCGTGTACACGGTCCAATTCCATCCTACCCACGACTCTCTCGTCGTCACGGGCTGTTTCGATTTTATCATTAGAATTTGGGACATTGCCCGTCCCACGGAAAGTGTTGTCCCTACCGGCGATAAGATTAATAGTCGTCGCAATAACACGACAAGGGATCGATGGAGCGTACAAACAGCGTCGCCACTATTTATTGTAAGAAGAAAAAATTAAATACAATTTTTTAATTTTAATAAAAAAGTTACAAAATCGAAATTTAAAAATATATCCCTCAGTTGGATCGCCACTCTAGTTTTGTAAACTGCTTGACCTTTGACCCCACGGGATCTTACCTCTTTTCCGGTGATGGGGACAGCCTCCTCTTCAAGTGGAGTATAAAATCTGAAAAGTCTTTGACGAGACGAAAATCCTGGACGATTGACAGGTAGTCAGGTTACACCACCTCAAGATTTCAAGTGATTAAAACGGAATGTGGAAATTGCAGAGAAGTGAAACTGACCGAAACGGGAAAAATTCCCATCAATTCGCTATCCCTGCATCCAAATGGTATCCGACTCTTGGTCCATTTGAGAGATAACTGTCTCAAAATATTGGATGCAAATAGTTTAATTGTGTTAAAGACGGTTCGAGGATTGAGCAATGATCGGTACGTATAAATTTTCAATGCTGCAAAAATGCAAAAATTTCATATCAAAAATAAGTCACAAGAAAAAGTTATCATTCTTGCGTAAACTTCTTTTAATATTTTTTTATGAAATAATTTTGCAGCCTACAAATCCGGAGTACTTTCTCTCCCTGTGGAAATCTCATCCTTTCAGGAAACGAGTCCACTTCTTTTTGTATTTGGGATGCTGATACGTACACGATTGCCGATTTTATAACACCAAAAGGTCACCCCTCTTCCGTCATCACCTGTGTCGATTACCACCCACGCGACTTTTATGTGGCGGTGGGCTTATCATCCGCGATAAGTGAACCCAGCCCTGTCCTCTTGTACGGTTACGACTCGCCAAAGTTCTCCCAAATCGCAATGGTTCAGGCCGGAGTGGCAAAGTTCAAGTCAAATTTGCAGCATAGGAGAGATGTCAAGCCAGGTCACAGTGTAACATTCGCCAAGGGCGCGAAACGTGGCGACAGTTCAGAAAAATTTGCCAGCATCATTGATAAATTAGACTCTGCGTTAAAGGACAGTCAAAAAATGAGGAAGACAATAAGGTCAAGTAGCGTGGACGATTTGAAGGCGACTGACCAACTACAAGCCAAAAGACCAAGGGAAAAGAGTCCACATACGATTTCATTAAGGTCACGCGTAAATAGTGGGACAAATTCAGGGCATGAAAAACCGACCAAATCGCCACGAACGTATATTGAAGATCGTTTAGAGGAACTGATTCTACCAAGTCAAAAATCCACCACAACAACGGTTGACATTCATTCCGAAAATGGTGGTCAACAAGATGATGACACGGAAAAGGTTCCAACCAAAATCATACAAATTGACCATGACCAAGATTTCTTATCGCCTAAAAAACTACCAAAAACACCTGTCGAACAAAGTTCCAAGATTCCGACACGCGTAAGGTCGTCTGAAGAACGGAGTCAAACCTCAAATTCGGTACCGTCCTCCCCCTCAAGTCGCACAAGAGGACATATGAATCCCGATGACACACGTTTTTTAAAAGAACTTCAGAATAACACGATTTCAAAATCAGACTAAAAATGTCTAAACATTTTCAATAATTTTTGACGTATAATATTACCGTTTTTGTTAGAATGAATACATTTTGTGCAATTTAACCAAAAAAATGACGAGATCTCTCAAAATTTGGAATTATTACTAAATAAAATTATAATCTTTGGTTTTTCGTTTTAAATCACAAAAAATATAACTTTTGTCTTAATATTACATAATTATAATCATAAATTATGTAAATTAAATGTTCAAGTCCATCAAGCCCGTATCTGGTCCCTCTTGTTTAATTAGGGCTTGCAACTCTTTAAATCGTGGATGTGCCGAGCCCCCAGCCAAGGCGAGGATTGCACTCTCCGTCGTCGTCAACCAACATCCGGCTTGTTTCAAAAGGCTGAAAGCGTACTTTCTATAATACACAAATCACCAATTTAATAATTTATTTTCAACTGTCGATTATCAATTATCCTTAATTATTCACCTTTCCACGTGACCTCGAGAACTGCACGCATCCGCCACGACGAAAACCTCATAACCCAAATTCTTTAGGTCCAGAGCGGTCTGCTGGATACACACATGCGCTTCGATCCCACACAAAATGATGGAGTTGACGTCCGGCGTTTTCTGAAAGCAAAGATATCATAACTAAAGTTTCCTTATCTTCTTTGACTATTATAAAAATACCTTTAATTGTTCAACAACGGGGGAAAGACACATGGAAAATAGCGTCTTATCCAGCGCCTTGATCCCGTAAGCTTCAATTCCCAGCTCTGGAACGGTTTTCCCAAGTCCTATGGACAATTTAAAAAAAAACAGAACATGTAAGCGTTTCTACAAAATTATAATTGTTCTACAATTAACTTTACCTTGCGGATACTGTTCCGTACAAACGACTGGCATATCCAGAATTGAGGCTGCCCTCAACAATCGCCCCGAATTTGAAACAATTGCGTCAAAATATTTTATTGAAGGTCGAAATTTGTCCTGCATATCGCAAAGGAAAAGAGAGCTATTTTTTGGGATTAATTTCCCACTCAGGCGACCCACCATTCCGGCAGCCATAATTAATAAGGGTTACAACAACTAAACTTTAACAAACAATTTAATGTCAATAGTTTAAAGTTTATTTATCCGGAAAATTTGTTGACCAGAAAACAATTACTAATCTTTCACACTTGTTATGTAATAAACTCGTCTCATCAAAAACATTCTCGGTTTCCCACACGTGCAATTCTCGTGGCCGCTGAGTTGAAAGCAAGCAGCGAAAAGGCATGCTGTTTTTGTCAACATTTTAATATAAACTAAAAATTGTGTTAAAAATTCCATCAAAAAGTGAATAATTCTTCAATATTTGTTAAAAACTCTTGGAATTACAAATTAGTATGGCTGCCTTGAAGAAGAAAAAGTGTGGAAATTTATTCCCCGATTCTTCGTCAGATGAGGACGAATCAAATTTTGTTGGGGATAAATCATTTCCAAAAAGCGGTGGGAGTGGTGATGGCGACGAGGATAGGCCCTTATCCGGAAATCGTGTACAGGGAGACAGTAGTGGGTTCCAAATTAATAAAAATTATGCTGAACGATACGACTCGTGGAGAAATAAGGAAGAGTTGATGAAAAGTACGTGCAGTAATTAATTTTTGTGGATTTAATAATTAACATTTTTAACTATTCATCATCTACTGTTATAGTGAAAGCCCGCTACGGCACGGACAACATTGACGACATCGACTCTAATTCGTCGTCCTCCTCGGAGGAAGAGGAAGAATGGACAGACGACAAGGAGAAAGCATTCTTTAAAACGTTATCCAATCTAAAGAAAAAAGATCCCAAAATTTATGATCCAACCGTTAATTTTTTCACACCGGAAGTCACACCTTCATTATCCGCTTCAAAGAATAAGGACAAGGTCAAGAAAAAGACTGATAAACCATTCCTGCTCAAGGACCACGAACGTACCATGATTCTCGAAAAGGGTGCCCTCATCTCAGACTCGGACGATGATGACCAAGAAGAAGATAAAAGCAAGCAAAAATCTACCCTTTCTTACTATCAGGAACTCGACTCCATCAAAAAGGGTTTTAATGCGGCTTTAAATTCAATTGAGTCGGATGATGATAACGACGATGATAATGTCTTGTTAAAGAAGGGGAAACCTAAAACAGAGCAGGAGTCGAAACAGGAAGATGAAGATTATCGCCTCTGGTTGAAAGGGGAGTTGAAAAGGTGAAAGCAATTTGAACAATTTAGTTTCATGATAATGGTTGCAATTTCAGCAACTTGATTTATCTTTATTTTTTGCAGACTTGATGGCGGAAAATTGTCCAAGGACGAAGTCAAAGAATTGTCATTCCTCCGCTCGTATTGGACGGATGAGAAACTCGATGAGGGCGAACAGTTTTTAAGGGATTACATCCTCAACCGAAAGTATGTTGAGGGCAAAGATTCCAATACCAAGAATGACGACGACGACGAAACTAGAAATTACAACCAAATCGCGCATGATTCTGACGAGGGAGGATTATCAAATGACGAACAATTTGAGGAACAACGAGAAGAGTTTGAACATAAATATAATTTCCGGTTTGAGGAACCCGATCCCGAATTTGTGAGTGAAACCAAAACTATTTTAGACAGCAAAAAATACAACACTTTCATTTCAAACAAGCTATTTAATATTTCTAGATCAAACGCTTTCCCCGTACGATCGATGACTCCCTCAGGCGTGAAGACGAACGTCGAAAAAAACAACGTGACACTGCTAAAGATCGCAAAACTGAGGCAAAGGACCGCAAACGAGAACAAGTCCAGCGACTGAAGGCCTACAAGAGGAAAGAGATTCTCGACAAGTTGGCCCAACTGCAGGAAATAAGTGGCAATCCTGACCTCGATATTGACCTTGACGGCGATTTTGATCCAGCCGAGTATGACGAAAAAATGAGGATTGCTTTCAACGAGGAATATTACACGGAGGGTGACGATGACGCCAAGAAACCAGAATTTCCTTATGACCCCGAAATTGATGATGAAGGTGAGCAGATACATAAGTTATTAGATCTTGCTGATATTGATGAACATTAAGAATGATTGCGAATGTTCTTTATTCTTTATTTTGAACTAGCCAACTTTGAAGAATGGGTTCCCACTAGGGAGGATGACGATGACAATGACGACAATGATGATGAAGTACCTGGGCCATCGCCAGTTAAGAAACCGAAAAATAAGCTGGCTCACGACGACGAGGTTCTATTTTCAAAACTTTCTTATCATTTTGATTTTGAAGATATTAACTTGACCCGTAACTATTTTGACCACAGGATGATAAGGTTGTCACAAAACCTACGACTTCTACAAAGTCTGCAAGACAACAAGAACTTATCGATTCATCTCGTGGGAGAAAATCCGCTTCCGAAAAAAAATCAACCTCCCTTTTTCTCAACGCGTTGGAAAAGAAGAAGCCAAAATTCAACCCCGCCCAGCACAAGTCATTCGACCAATATTTCAAGGAATATTACGCTCTCGATTTTGAAGACTTAATTGGTGATCTACCCTGTCGTTTCAAATATAGGAATGTGCGCCCAAATGACTTTGGCTTGTCGACGGACGAGGTAAATCCGCAGTGAATAGTTATTTCAGAAATATTAATACAATTCAGGCCAATCTTTGTCTACTTTGTAACTTTACAAAGTGAAATATGTATTTGGCATACCGTTTCAAAAACCATTTCAATTTTTACATTACCAGTTTACTAAAATTAAATGTACTTATGTTCTTATTTTCATGTATGTTTTGCTAGATTTTGAAAGCAGAAGATCGCGAACTCAATCAGTGGGCTTCCTTAAAGAAAACTTATCAGTATCGTCCCGACACAGAGGAGACTTACGAGGCGCAGGCTTACAAGAAAAAAGGGGAGAATGACGCGTTAAAAAAGAGGGTACTTCTTTCGGTTTATCAACCAATAATCGGGTATGCAGAACCTCGTTATGAATTTGCAAGATTATTGTTAATTTTTTCTCGTAATAACCTAAAATATTTTGTGCCAATTTTGACATTATAATTTTATCTCTTTAGCCCTGATGAGGAAGAGGACGAACAAGAAATTGGTAATAATGACGACGGCGAGAACAACGCTGATACCACTAAAAAGTCTAAATCTAAAAAGAAGAAGAAAAATAACAAGTCGAAACCTAAAGCGGAAGTTTCACAAACAGAAACAGAAATTCCAATTAAAATTGAAGCAGACTCATCCCAACTCATTCCAGATTCTTTAGTTGAAGCCAAATCCAGCAAAAAGACTAAATCTAAAAAATTATCTGTACCTCCTCCCACAAAACTCGAGAATGACGATGAGCATAATGACGAATCTTCACTATCACCTACCAAAGAAGAGGAACAACAATCTGCTGATCCACCAAAACTGTCTAAACGGCAGAGAAAGAATCGAAACAAACAGAACAACGGACAAAAACAGCCCTCTACTGTAGATTCATCCACTTCTCCGAAAAAAGTGACGCCACCAAATGGTCATGCTCCCACAAATAAAAAGAAGCACGCCAACTCCAAAAAGGGTCCAAATTCTGAGTCCCATCAACAATCTAGTAAGTCTTTGAAGCGAAAAGCGGACCAGGGTTTGGAAGACGAGAGGTTAAAAGCGTACGGAATAAATCCCAAGAAGCATAAAAAGTGGGTGAAATATGGTACTTCCGGAGGAAAATAGAACTAAATAAGTCGCTTTATAACAACTATTACAAATTTATGAAATAAAAAACAATTCAAAATTCTTAAACTCTAGCAGATACACTTTTATCTTGAAATTATTCAGTTTATCATAAAGTTATGCCAAAGTTGTCATCTCCAAAATAACCTAAATCACCGTTGCAATGAGACTTTTCAAAATTATTTAACTAAGTAATTACGAAGCATAAATACAAAATCCCGGCTTCTCGCAATCATGACATTATATTAAAATCTCGCCCTTTTGCTTACATTAAAGTTTAAAATTATGGTCATGATACGCATGCAATATTTGCATTTCATGAACAAAGATTTCTTTTACCTGCCCCACGTGACTTAAATCGTACCAGTCAGATGATATTTTTCTACAAAACGTGTCCAGTCTTGTCTTGCTCTTCTTCCACTTGGGATTGGGAAGAGGAAATTTATCATGTCAATCAAAGTCTTTCTAAACTTAATTAGTTAATTTTTTAGCATGTAGTAATTAGTTTGTAATCGTGACAAATTATTCCTTATCATGATCTAAAAATAAATTTTAAACTTATCATGAATCATTTCACTGTATTTTTATAGTTTTAGGACTTTAGTATGTAGATAAATTACAAATTACAATTTGAGTAGAACCATAGGTAGATTATTATTTAAAGATAACTAACGACGACCCCCAAATCGTGACCATGTTGAGATTGATATGACCTGACTTGGTAAGTAAAACACTAAAACATAAAACTATTAATTATTACGAACGAAATTATAAAATTGGTAAAATTTCAGCAATAGTAGATATTACACAAAATGACTACGTTGTCAAAACCCACCGCCACGGTTACACCCCCGATCACGGTGAGAACCCATTATGGCGAAAACAACATCAACGCCGGCCCTCTTAAAGAACTCCCGGAAGTTTGTGTCGACCACTTTCACGGAAATTCGTTAAAATCCACGGCCTTCTTCCTGTCCCATGCTCACACGGGTGATTAACTAATTACTGATTTATTAAATATTTATAATATTGTAAATTTATTATTTATCCTTTTTCAGATCACATGGTTGGCCTGGAAGGGATCGACTTCCTCACCCGCCTCCGCGAGCCTAACGTTACCCTTTATACAAACTCAATCACGCCTATTTTGCTAACCTCGTTTGACAACTACCTGGGCGGCAAAGAAGGTCAAGCTGGGCTTATCAGGGCGCATAAAATCATCCCAATGGGTACACACACCCCTAAAATTATCCGGATTCCATCCATCGCCGATAAAGATGTCTATGTCACCGTACAGGTCACCCTTCTTCCCGCAGAACATTGTCCAGGTTCCGTCATGTAAGTTAATTCGTAGATTTTCCATAACACTAAATAAACCCGTCGAAGGTTATAACCTCTCACCTTTTTCAGGTTCTTATTTGAAACGGAAAATCTTCGAATCCTTCACACTGGTGATTTTCGTACACCCGTCAGCTCGTTAATGGCATTGCCAGCGTTACACCTGCCACCATTAAACGCTGCCAAACCGACCGAATTGGGCCCCCTTAAACCAATCGACCACCTCTACATCGACACCACCTTTTGTACCACCGACTACGCCAAGATGTTCCCCTGTCGGAGAGAGGTTATCAAAACTGCTGTCGATGAAATCACAAAGTATTTTAAAGAGTCCAAGCAGTCCAATGAGAATTGGATTTTTATCAAGTTTGCTGGTATTTTGCTTTTACAAGAAAAATGTCCAAATTTTTGTGAATTAATTATGTGTATTTTTGTTTGTAGCCAAATTCGCCCACGAATTCACGCTGATTGAAATGCACAAACATTTAAATATGAAAATCCACGTGACACAGAAACGTTACGATGTTTACAAGTATATACATCACACACTGCTTAACGCGGTCACATTGGACAGATACAGCACATTACTACACTTTTGTGACGATCGTGTAAGAAATACATCAAGAATCTCATTTTTAAAAATTGAAATCAGAAGCCGATTCGATTGTCACCAATTCTACAAGTGATGCGATTAATTAATTATCTTTAATTGCAGGCCTGCATTGGTGGGAATCGTCTGGAAATGAAGTTGTCCTCGATGTGGTACTCCATCCGTCCACAGATTACTAACGTTACCGCTGTCTCTCCGCTTGCTGTTTTACGCGCTCTCCGTGGTCGGGGTCGTGGCCGTGGGAGAAGTCGTGGCGTTGGCCCAGAGGGAAATTTGCTCATGGAAAAAAAGATGGCTACAGTGATTCGAACGCCGAAACGATTAAGTGTCTGTTATGCGATGCACCCATCGTTGGAAGAAATTGTCCATGTCATAGAATATCTGAAGCCGAAGATTGTCACACCATTAGTGATGCCATTCGCTTCGACGTTGCACGAGGTGAATGCACATGTTTTTCGAACAGTTTTCATATAATACATAGATTTCAAGAGTTTTGCGAGACGAAACGAGGCAACAATGCCGTAATTTTAATTTTTTCAACTGCAAAAATTAAAAAAAAAACAAATCTTCAAATTTTATAAGTTAATCTAGATCAACAAATAAGTTAAGCACAAAATTAACTAAATTACTTTATCTTATATCATCAGATAAAAGAGGCCTTCCGAGCTCACTGTTGCCACTCCTTCCTCTACGAAGACTATCGAACATCAAGTGAACAGATTAATGATCCGGCTAATCGACTCACCAAAAAATCTCCCCATTTAAAAGCCCGACTCAACCCTGCCCTTTTGGGGATGGTCCCGATCAAAAAGTGGGCAGAAGATATTGACCCCGACGCCTCCGAGTCTTCCGGTGACGAACAAGAAATCCAAGTTCCAGGACACACTCCTAAAAAGACGATCGTCATCCAATTTAATCGTGACCCTATTGAAGACAGCGACAAGATAGACCCCGCCTACAAATTCGAAACTTTTGCTAAAGACGATGACTCTTCTTCTCCAGAAGAGGAAAAACCAAGCACGAGTGGGACTGGCTTGCAGCAACGTAAACTAATCCTGATGGATTCCTCGTCATCGTCACTTTCGTCGCCCTCACCAACGCCGAGGAAAAAAAATGAGACCATGGCAGAGAGGAGGTTGAGAAGAAGGAAGCGAAAGGAGACCAAACGGAATAAAAACAATTTTAGCAGTCAGTCATCCAATGATGACGGTAGTCCAGTCAAAATTAAGAGAAGGAAGATGAAAGTGGGCGATCCACGGACAAGATGTATTAGTTCGAGTGTAGTAAGAAAACTGGAATTTGAAGGGATTCCCCTCCCTGGACCATCGTCACGGTCACATGCACGACCACCACAAGAGACAACTGTAACACCTGTGACCCCACCAACAACACCAACTACCAAAATTCTCACCCCTGAACCATCAACTTCAATTTCTTCCACCAGTAAAACTGTCGTGACATCATTTCAAAGTCCGAGCGGGCCGTCAATTCTGACTCCCACTCCATCCACTACTCCTACAACTAAAACTCCTCTTCCTGCAAAAACAACTTCGACATCTTCACCCTTTGCAAGACTCGACGTGCTATTCTCCCAGTCGCCTTTGTCCTCTCCGACCACCTCACCCATCAAAACTACTCCTCTCGTCTCGCCGACCAAGTCTAAATCGGTATGGTGCCAAACTCCTGGTGAAAAAACACCACCTTGTACAAGACTCGACGTACTCTTCTCCCAAACTGAACCTGACGCTGCCCTGATCTCTTCGCTACCCACCCAAGTTGTCGTCGTCCCGTCTGAAAAACCTGCATCCACGCCAAAAGTAGGAGCAGATGTTGTAATCAACGTATTATCCCAGACTCCTCCGGAAGCCCCTTCTCCGTCCACTACGGCCTCGCCTGATTCTCCCCCCATAAAAACCGTCTCACCCACTGTGACCGTTGCGGAAACAAAAGTTTTGGATGTGATTGATCTTTCATCCTCCCAAACTCCTCCTCCTCTTCCCGGTCTGTCTACCTCGACCTGTTCAACTATGAGTCCTTCCCCCACAAAAACCGTCTCAGAAACTCCCACAAGCACAAAACCAGCTTCTCCCTCGGCCTGCAAAAAACTCGACTTTCTCTTCGAAAGTCCAGAAAAGTCAGTTTTCACTTGTCCTACGACTTCACCCAATAAAAGACCCATCGAAAATCTACCTTCAACTTCCACACGGAACACAACTCGATCAAGACTAGACATTCTCTTCTCATCATCACAGTCACCTCTGACCTCGCCGACGACATCACCCACAAAAACTACGCTTGCTAAGTCATCCTCTAAAAACTTTGAACTTATCACGATTGACGATGACGATCCTGGAAGTGAAACTGACTTTGAAGTCGAGTCAAACTCTTCTAATTCGCAAACCCAGGTTATAGAATAGCAATATTAAGAATTGTTCACATTTTATCATGACAGAATCATTCAGATATATATATCATGTTATAAAAACTTTATTTATTTTTGGAATGCATGTTTTCGAAAGAAAATAAAAATAAAAATATTTATAAAATAATTACAACTCGTCCGGAATGTGTTTTTGAATGTCTTGTCTGATTGATAAGAACAACGCGATCACAATTGCCAGCAGGATCACCTTTAATTAAGAGATACGAATTATACAAAAGTCATCTTAAATTAATTACTAATGCAAATTATTTACCATAATTAAAAGCATCATGCTTCCCTGTCGGATAGTTTTTGATTGCGATCTGGCCATTTGTTCCACAATTTGTAAACGCTTCTCCACATTACAAATTCGGTCAAGGAACTCTCTATTCAATTACATATTCCCATGAAGTATAAAAAACTGGAAATATTTATAGTAGAATTAATTAACCAACTATTTGTTAGTAAGTTTAATTAGCATACTTACCTGTCCTTAGATAAATCGGATGCAATACCCATATTCAAGTACAATTTTTTCCTTCTGTATTAATCTCAAAATTTTATGAATAATTAATCCGATAAAGAAGGTTGACAGTTAAAGAATCAGGCAAAACAAACACCTGCTAAAAATTAGTGTGAAGTTAGCCTATCCTATAGGATAGGATGATGGTTGAAAAAGCCTCCTAAATGGATGAAGTTACCCCAATCGCCGATTTTGTGCTATTTTGTGCTATACGCGTTAAAAATACATCGAAAACATGGGAATTCGTTTAAACTTGTTAAAATACAAGAATTAACATAAAAAATCAACGACCAATAAATACAAAAAAACACCAAAAATTTAATATATCTATCTCATCTTTTTGCCAGCATAATTAGGTACTTTTATGTTAAATTTTAAATTTATTAGTCTCACTCAGCACCATTATACTACATTAACATCAACATACGTGCTAAGCCATATTCTTGACGCCAAATTTCGACATTTCAATTTTTATAATTTGGCCGACTTTTAAGTCGATTTCCACGAAAACTAGTCCCGATACCTGTCAAGTTAGTAATTTATATTCATTCTATTCTGACCTTAGAAGGTCATGGCACCACCCGTTAAGCATGCGCCAACAGAATAAGAAAGTATTTGGACTTTGAAACTGGCTAATCTGACTTGAAAATTTTCATTTTGGCCAATTTTGGAGTCGATTTGCTCGAAAACTAGTCCCGATACCTGTCAAGGTAGTAATTTTTATTCATTCTATTCTGACCTTAGAAGGTCACGGCACCACCCGTTAAGCATGCGCCAACAGAATAAGAAAGTATTTGGACTTTGAAACTTGCTAATCTGACTCGAAAATTTTCATTTTGGCCAATTTTGGAGTCGATTTGCTCGAAAATGAACTCCGATACCCCCCAGGGTAGTAATTTTTCTTCAATCTACACTGACCTTAGAAGGTCATGGCACCACCCGTTAAGCATGCACCGTCCAAATAACAAAGTATTTTGAATTTAAAGTTGGTCAATCTGAGTCAAAAACTTGCGTTTTGACCGATTTTGGAGTCGATTTGCTCGAAAATGAACTCCGATATCCCCCAAGGTAGTAATTTTTCTTCATTCTATCGGCATTCTTTGTAATCGAAAATAAATAATGCACAATTACATGCTTCATAAGACTTCGCCGACCAGCATCCTGACAAAAAATTTCCCGCCCCGCACTTGTCAATCTCTAGTGAAGTTATATCACAATTGGAATGTGGCCATTGTGGACTGCCATCATGCTGCCTCCACGCTTCGGCCACAAAGAATAGTTCGGGATGGTGGTAGATGGTGCCGGAATGACTTTTGTTTTCTGTTCTCCTTCGGCGTCGTCCATCAGTTTGTGGAGTCGTCCATTTATTATGTTGTCGGACAACCTTCTAATTAAATTAGAGCGAGGTACGACTGAGTAATGAGTAAATGAGAGGATGGCACAACAATTAAATAAATGTTACAGTATGTAACTTATTTAATGCTACGATTTTTAATTTCAAATTCAAATTCAATTTTCATAGGAAAGGTAGATAGGTGTCGTGGGATGAAAGTGCTCAAATAATTACATATTAAATTTAAGTGTTGTTATATCAATATAATTAGTAATCGTGCTCGAAAGTGAGACATGTCTGAAAAGTATTATCAAGATTAGTGTCAGAATATCAGAGTATTTAGTGTCCTTGTGTCTCCGTCTCTCTAGTTCACGATCGATAAGTAGAGTTATCATGGTCAATTGTATGTAATGTCAAAGTAATCGTCATTGCATAAATAAAGTTCACATTCTAAGTTGATCAACATCGTTAAGTCGTTGTTCAAAAGTAAGTATATCTTGGGAGACATAAGTCGTCGCCCAATACATTGGTCTCGCGAAGCAAGTGAACTAGACCTAAGGACATCAAGTCAAGATGGTCAACACAAGGAGCGGAGCCGGAGTTGATCATGAATCGAGGACAACAGCAGTCGGTGCGCCATGCAGCGTTGCTGGAAGCGTCTCTTCCTGTTCGTCAGCAAGTTCCGTCGCTGTCGCCAAGGGGAAGGAGAAGGAAAATTTTCTCATCGAATTGTCGAAGTTGCAAAGGAAAATTGATGACGCTGTCCGTGACATCAATTTGGCTGGTGAGGATCTATCTGACGTGAAAGAAGAATTGGAAAAGAATAAGGAAATCTTATCGAAACTTGATCCAGCACAACAACTTCAAGAAATTCAAGAAAAACAGTCAGCAATTGACCAACTAAAAAAGAAAAAGAGGGATCTGACTATTCTCAGACTGTAGAAAGACTGCAAAGTGAAGGAGCTCGAGAGACAAGTGGATCTTCTCAGAGCAAGATTCTATACCAATCTTCACATCATTGACGAAGAAGCTGAGATGGAGTCCTGTCGACATCATGAATTGGATGGCGACCTTGATGGGGTCAAAGATGATGGGGCTTTCGAATTCTATTCTCATCAGGACGATGTCAATAAGGATGATCACGTCAGCGTCACACCACCAGTCAATCCAACTCTCTCTACCGAGTTTGCACAAGTACTTGGATCAGCTTTGGGGGCAGCCATCAACCTGTCCAACAATCAGAAGTCTCAAGATTATGGAAAATTTTTTGCAAGACAAACCACAGGAAAAGACTTACCCACATTTTCTGGAGCGCCTGATGAGTGGCCCATCTTCATAGCGGACTACTCGAGGACCACTCAGTTATGCGAGTTCTCACCGGACGAGAATCTCCAGCGCCTTCGAAAGTGCTTACGGGGGGAAGCAGCCAAAGCGGTACAGTGCTTGATGTTGACACCGGAAAACTTGCCAAAGATTATGGAAACTTTGAAGCGGAGATTTGGTAATGAGGAACACATTATCACTTCGATGATTGACGCAGTGAGGTCTACGCCGCCAATCCGAGAGGACAAGCTGGAGACTGTGATCGAGATGGGAACAGCAGTGGTAAACTTAATCGCAACAGTTAAGTCTTTGAATTGTGACCACCACTTACAAAATCCTACTCTTCTGCTGGAGCTGAGAAACAAACTTCCTGCGGCGTACAAGATGCAGTTCTCTCTATGGACGAAATGACAAAATGGGAAGCAGGGAAATTTAGAAGACTTTGCAGTTTGGATGGAAATGATGATGGATTGTGCATGCGAACATGTACCACCCTCAACTAAAGATAGAAATCAGCAAGATAAGACCAACAATGACTGGCGAAAGAAGAGTCAAGTTCACACAGCTAGTGAGAAGCCAGATAGAAAATGTAACTTTTGTGACAAGAACCATCCAACCCACAGTTGTCAAGTCGTTCGAGATGCAGCACCAAATGACGGCATGCAAATGATTGCTGCTAAGAAATTGTGCTTTTCCTGCTTAACCCCTGGACACTCATCTAAGCAATGCAAAAGGAAATTGAAGTGTGGCATTGACGGATGCAATTTCTTCCATAACAGACTTCTCCATGGGGCGCAGCCAGTCCAAGCAGCTTATCGTCAGGCAGATCAGCACCGCAGCGAATCACAAGTCCACGTGATCAACGCTACTTCACTTCGATACGTTCCTGTTGAAGTTTCTGGACCAGGAGGGAGTGAAGTCATCTAATCTACGCCTTACAAGATGATGGATCCAACGTCACCATTCTTGATGATGACGTCAGAAGGAGAATAGGAGTAACCGGACAGAAAAGTTCATTCTGCATCTCGACAATGAGCGGCGAGAAGCACCACCCGGAATCTCAAGTAATGTTAAAACAATTTCAAATTTGAATTTGCAAGCAGTCAGTCTTGATGTCAAGATGTTGAAGGAAGTATTTCCATACCTGAAAAATATCCCGTTGACACAATTCCAAAATGTGAAACCAAAATTGCTGATTGGGAGTTCACACTTCGACCTTATCCAGCACCTCAGAGTGGTCAAAGGAGGACCTGGTGAGCCGATAGCGGTCAAATCAAGACTTGGATGGGCAGTCATCATGGGAGAGGAGGAGATGAGAAGAAGTCACAGCCACTCATCGTATCATTTGTGCAGTAGAGAACGAGATGAAAACTTGCACCAGATGATCAAGAACAGTTTCTCCACGGAAGATTTTGGAGTCAAAATCGTGGGGGAAAATTTGCGGTCGAAAGAGGATGTTCGAGCACTCGACATCATGGAAGCGACGACCGTGAAATCAGAAGATGGCATCTGTTTCCAGACAGGTCTTCTTTAGAAACACGACGAAGTGAAGCTTCCCGAGAGCAAGATAATGGCGTTCCATCGTCTACGGTGCCAAGAAAGAAAAATGGACAGAGATCCCGGATTTGCAGATGCATACTGCAGCAAAATCCAAGAATATCTGGACAAAGATTACATTGTAAAAGTGTCAAAAGAAGAAGTTATAAATCATTATCATCATCCACGACTGTGGTACTTACCACATTTTGGCGTCTTCAACCCCAACAAGCCTGGAAAACTACGCCTCGTGTTTGATGCAGCTGCAAAATCACACGGGACAAGTTTGAATGATAACTTGTGTCAAAGTCCAGATCTCAACAATTCTCTGGTTAGCGTGTTGATGAAGTTCCGGCAGTACAAGTACGCGTTTGCTGGAGACATAAAAGAAATGTTTCATCGTGTGTACATTCAAGAACAAGATAGAATTTCGCAAAGATTCCTTTGGAGGGGAAGGGATCGATGGAGCGAACCTGAAGTGTATGAAATGAAGGTCATGATTTTTGGAGCTGCCTCCTCTCCAACATCGGCTCAATTCACAAAAAATAAGAATGCGAACCTTCATATTGACCAGTATCCTGAAGCATGTCACGCCATCACCAAGAAACATTACGTGGATGACTACTTGGATTCGACGCCCAGTTTGGAACAAGCAGTTAAGTTGGTGCGAGAAGTTATCGAAGTTCAAGCCAGGGCCGGTTTTCAAGTTTGTAATTGGGTTGCTAACTCTCAAGAGATATTGAATTCTATTCCTGAGGAACTGAGAGCACCAGAGTCAAAACAATTGAACATTAAAGATTGTTTACCGGAGGGAAGAATTTTGGGAATGTGGTGGAACCAAGATGACGATACATTCCGATTCAAGTTTAACTTCAACAAAGTACCACAAGAAATTACTGAAGGGACAAAGCGACCCACTAAAAGACAAGTTCTCAAAGTTGTCATATCTGTATTCGACCCATTGGGAATCTTAGGACATTTGATTGTAAAAGCGAAGATATTGATGCAGGATATATGGAGGAGTGATATCACCTGGGATGATGAGTTGCCCACCACCCTGGATCTCAAATGGTCAAGTTGGTTGCAGGAGTTGAAAGGAATCACTGGGGTAATCATTCCAAGATGTTACTCGTACCGCATCCCGAAGAGTGCAGCAGTTCAACTCCACGTGTTCTGCGATGCCAGCGAGAAGGCTTTCGCATGTGTAGCCTTTCTCCGAGTCGAAGATGAGGAACAAGTCGATGTCAACATCATCATCTCAAAAACAAGAGTTGCGCCACTGAAAGTACTTCCCATTCCGAGGTTGGAGTTGCAAGCAGCAGTTATGGGAGTTCGAGCCGCAAATATGATGAAAGAAGAACTGGAAATAAAAATCACTAACACTGTATTCTGGAGTGATTCATCCACGGTGCTGAAGTGGATACGTAGCGACGCAAGAAACTATAAGCAGTTTGTTTCGCACCGAATTGGCGAAATCTTGGAGTCAACCGATGTTGAGGATTGGAATTGGATCCCCACCAAGTTAAACGTTGCTGACGACGCCACGAGAGACAACTTGGAGAGCGATCTGGGTCAATCGAGTCGTTGGTTCAAAGGAGCTAGTTTCCTGTACAAGAGTGAAGAAATGTGGCCGAAGGAGGACTTTAGAAGTAAACAAGAAGCAGATGATTCAATGGAACTGAAGTGTGCAGTAGTGAATGTGACTCGTGAACTACACAAGAATTTACTCTCACCAGAAAAATACAGTAGTTTCTGCAAGTTAATCAGAGTTACAGCATGGATTTCACGTTTCATTAATAAATTAAAGAAGAAGACGTTCACCGGAAGTGATTTGACAGTGGTGGAGCTGAATAAGGCCGAGTTATACTGGATTAAAGTTATCCAGCAAGAATCCTTCCCAGAGGAGATAAAGTCGTTAAATGAGGGGAAGCAGTTAACCAAAAGAAGTGTACTATATAAACTGAGTCCCGAATTGCATAATGGAATTATTCGGATGAGAGGAAGATTAAGTTATGCAAGTTATTTACCATTCGAGACAAGAAATCCAATCATTTTTAACTGGAAGCATCCCGTGGTAAAGTTAATTGTTAAAAAGTATCACCAGCAAAATGGTCATCAAGGTCGAGCTACAGTGGCAAGTGATCTTCGTCAGCAGTTTTGGATTATCGGATTAACAGCTGCTGTAAAGGAAGCATTTGCAAAGTGCCAGTTTTGCAAGAATAGAAAAATTCAGCCCCAAGTTCCTGAGATAGGAAATCTACCAGACTTTCGACTTCAAAGTCATGTGCGACCTTTCACCAACACCGGAATGGACTATTTCGGACCAATTGAAGTAGTAGTTGGCCGTCGACACGAGAAAAGATGGGGAGTCATATTTACTTGTCTCTCAACACGAGCAGTCCATTTGGAAGTCGCACGGAATTTGGACACAACTTCAGCAATCAACGCAATCAGAAGATTTACCAGCCGTCGTGGTCAACCGTGTCACATCTTCAGTGACAATGGAACCAACTTCCATGGAGCAAGTACAGAATTGAAAAAAGCATTATCAGAAATAAAACAAGTTGACATCGAACAACAGTTATCAAGTAATAACATCCAGTGGCATTTCCAACCACCAGCAGCAAAACATATGGGTGGAGTCTGGGAGCGACTCATTGGATGCGTCAAGAAAGTGCTTTCTGGAATAGTGGAAAGTGAAGTGTATAACGACGACACACTCCACACCTTTCTACTTGAAGCAGAAGCAATTCTGAATAAGCGACCTTTGGTGGAGTTATCATTGGACCCACAAGATCCAACGCCACTCACACCAAATCACTTTCTGATGGGATGGAGTTCGGGGTCAAGTCACAAATTCGTACCACAAGATGATACATGTGGAGAGTTCGAGAATGCCGATAAGATTGGGCGACACAATTGGAGAACTGCTCAGAGATTAGCTGACGAGTTTTGGAAGAAGTGGGTCAGGTCATATCTCCCAACATTAACAAGACGTGAGAAATGGCATCAACCTGCTAAACCTATCAAAGTTGGGGACCTAGTGCTCATCGTGGACGACCAAGCCAAAAGAAACACGTGGGAACGAGTACGAGTTGAAGCTGTCTACCCTGGAAAAGATCATAAAGTTCGTGTCGCCGACATAAGAACATCGAAGGGGTTGTATCGTCGCCCAGTTTCCAAGTTGGCAGTACTCGATGTGGATGAATCTGCGATCATCGAGGGGAAGAATGTCGTGGGATGAAAGTGCTCAAATAATTACATATTAAATTTAAGTGTTGTTATATCAATATAATTAGTAATCGTGCTCGAAAGTGAGACATGTCTGAAAAGTATTATCAAGATTAGTGTCAGAATATCAGAGTATTTAGTGTCCTTGTGTCTCCGTCTCTCTAGTTCACGATCGATAAGTAGAGTTATCATGGTCAATTGTATGTAATGTCAAAGTAATCGTCATTGCATAAATAAAGTTCACATTCTAAGTTGATCAACATCGTTAAGTCGTTGTTCAAAAGTAAGTATATCTTGGGAGACATAAGTCGTCGCCCAATACAATAGGTATTCCAAAATTGATTTCATGGCATTTAGTGACAATATATCAGACTGCATTGTAACCAATTTTCAAAGGAATTATGATAGAACTGTTGAATCCACAAATTTTTTGGGGCTATGTGTCACAATAGTGTAAAGCTTTCAAAATTCTGCATGGAGGTAATATTTTGTAGCAAAATATATTGCATCAGGGTAGTAGAACTGACGTATGGCAGTCGATGGCATCATGGCCAATCTCGATTTGTTAAAAATTAATCTTGGTCAATTAGGAACAAAAGCGGACTTTGGTCTGGGAGTTATCTTCCTATATAGCGGGAACTATATTACAAATATTGCAAAACCTGTTTTAGAATGACTCGCGGGCAACAAAGTAAAGGTTGTGTATCGGGCTTGAAATCCCCGTAGCATGAATTATGTAACATGCAGTTAGCCATACTTTAATATTAAAATGGTTGTGGATTAAAAATTTTTATCTCAATGCCTTGTAGTCCGATATAGTGTTAATAATTGGTATACAAATAATTTAAAAATATCTACCGGTCGTTGGGAAAATTGAATTTGAATTTTGAATTAAAAAGCTTAGCATTAAATAAGTTACATACTGAGTCTAACGGTTGGATAAAATGTCAGTATTTACGGATCGTTGTAAGGAAAGACAGAGTGACGACGACTTTGTTACAGAGTAAAAATAAGAGTGTCAATTTATTACGCAGAGGTTTTTGCTTTTATACATACATGTACTTAGTGCTAAAGGTTTCTACCTGAAAACTAATGTCTGGGCAACCTACCTGGAAAAACGCATGAGCAGGAAATCGCCTCAATTTAAGTAATAAAATCTTGTCCAGTCAAAATTCAAAACATCAAATTCAAAGAAAAGTTATTGCTGGAAAATCGTTAAGACTTAACAAATTTCCATGACCTAAATAGAACTTTTTAGAATGTCATAAAATTAGACAAAGCATTTTTTATCCTAAAAACTATTTTCAACATAAAATAAATCCAAAGTTGCACAAAATATGATCTCTGGATAAATTGTACTTCGAGGAATGCTTTGCGTCCGGAACACTGTAGTGTCTGGAATTTGAGTTATCTCACTTGTTCCAATTGGTGAAATTGTTTGGGCAGGTTGCGACCTACTTTCCTCTGCGTCACTCTTCCCCCTTTTAAGATCTTTCAGGCGAATATCTCTTCTGTTATGCATGTACTTGTTAGTTCGCACACGCTTCCCCCTCTTACTCTAAGTCTCACAACATTCTTCAACATGTTGTGAAAATTCAGCATTCCTCTCTTCTGCATAACAGGTAACATCATTTTGAAGATTTTCTGAAGAAGTTGGGGGGTGCTTTCTTGTTTTGGACTTCGGTAGGTTATCTAGGACGAATGTTTTATTTTTCCATTTGTAATAATAAATCTATTACGGATAAAATCGGCCACGTTCTCTGAATTTGCAATTAGATTATTCTTGATCAATCTAAACTCAAACTCGGTGCCCCTATTTGTAACTCGCACAAAGCTTGGGTACTTTGTTTTCTGCACCACTCCTCGAGCAAAAATTCCGATAAATGGAGCGTCTGTATCTTCATAAATGTTCAGCACGGATGGCGAGTAATATGGATTGGTTCCGGCCTCGACTTCCACATCTTGCACCAAGTTCTTACGTATTTTACGAAATAGATGGTAGTAGGGCGACTTTTCACGTAGAAGCTTGGTGGCGACCACATCCTCCTCGTCAAAATCTGGGGAATTTCCGTCATCTGGCTCAACGTAACCATCAAGAGCTATGGAGCTAATCGTTCAGACTGTATTGTCCGACTGTATTGTATTTCCTCGGACGTCATTCTTTCCATTCCAAACAACGTACAAACATCTTGCATAGCTAGGTTTACTTCATCAAGGCATGTACGCTCTTGAAGCTTCGCCAAGCCTCTAACACTCGCATCAACTATTTTCTTTGCATATTTGCTTGTTGCTGTTTCCCTTCTTACATTATCCAGAAACGACTTTGTCAGATGAGACGCACATAGTTGAATACATGCAATATCTCCCAAAAAGGTTGCTTTATCTTGGAGTGCGTCATAGCTTCTTCTCAAATATTCTTCAAGTTTCATGACGTTCAATGACTCTGACACAGCATGTAGCATTGCAAAGTTCAAGTCAGTGCAGATCATATCAGCTGCACTTTTAGGCTGGTATGGGCGTAATTTTTTTAATCCTCGTTTTACACTGGTCAGAGGTCCCCCAATATCATTCGATTGTCCTCTCATTAGATAGATAGATAGATAGATTTATTTATTTGACCACCCTTTTAGGCCTCCGGCCCATAGAGTACAAGAATTTTTAAATCTTATTTAAATAAACTAATATGTGTATATAGATAAATCAGTGGTGTTTGTATAACTCAGTAGTGATTAAATTTTACGTGGAAACAATATGTTGTTCGAAAAATAGACTAAATTATACTTTCTCTTTCATAACCCTAAATTATTAAATTAAACTAAAGTACAGTACAGTACACTTGACCCGATATATCTACTACATTAATTATATCCAATAACGATAATCTAATTTCTCTGGGCAGCCCACAATAACTACCCATTTACCCTATTAATATTTACATTTTGACGGTTGTTATCTCCACCTTTCACATTTATCATAATTACAATCAATAGATTAATGGCCATCATAGCTGACATAAAAATTAGCACCCAAAATCCATATTGTCCTCTCATTAGGATACTGTCAGCAACAACGAAATTACCACTCCCAGTTTGAGCCACGAAACTGTACAGTAGTAGCGAATTCCGCGGTCTTGCTGATCTCGGTTGATTTTTTGAATTTTGTTGACTTGATGATTCGGCAGATCTTCCTGCGTTTGATAGTGGTTTAAGAATTCCACCAGTTGCATCAATTCCGAGTGTCACGTGTTCTTTGGCAATCTTGTCGGCCAAAAGCTTCAGAGACTGCTGGTCAAACAGATCAACCCGAAATAGTTTTGGGTCAAGGTTATAATCTTGTATATACCCTTTTATAACTCCATTGGGATTGTGTGTGATTTTGTTGTGTTGGTCGAGTTGTTTCAAATCTTCAAACCCGTTGCAGTCGAATCGTTCCTTAGCTTTTCTTCAGCTCGTGCAGTTCGTAATACGTCATTGGTCGGTGGTACATTTCTGTGCAGCAGTTCACTCCCCAAGTGATGATGAGACCTGGATGCTGACCGAGATGCTGATGGGACTGTAATGCTGATGTGACCGTGATAATGCTGATGTGACCGTGATAATGCTGCTGGAGGAGAACTGGATTCACATAAATGAGTTCTGGGGACAAGGTCAAGATGTGTTGTTCCAGGAGGCTTTATTCACACTGATATCGAAGACTCAACTAGAATACAATTTATATGTGTGTGAGCACACCGTGCTCCATAGGATGCGAAGTTGCGCATGTAACTCTCGTCTCGTTACTAAGATGGTGCGGGTGCTCCCGTCACACCTACATAATCCAGCAACGGGATTCATTTCAGTTAAAAATACTTTAACGGTTGATGTGGTGGCTAAGGTTTTGGCCACTTTCTCCCTCTGATCTCAAATGATAGGGCGTGATGTCCGCTTGGATTGCACCAAATTGAATACGCCATACGACTCACATTTTGCTTTAACTGGAAAGCCTTGTACGGGTTTAGAAAGAAAAATTAGGTTGAATTTCATTCCGCAGCTACAGTAACCTTCTTTCTTGGCGAATGATTGGTCTTGCTTTTTCGTGGCGTAGTAATAAGGCGCTCGGCAGTTTTTAAATGCGCACAGAATTCCAGATTCGCGAAGCCGTTGTGCCAACTCATCACCACGAGCTTTTTTCTCTTGAACAAATTTTTCTGTGTCATAATTGTAAATCTTCGAAATGCTTTCAGCCGAGAAGGTAACATCGCTTTGTTTGGGGGGGATATAATTCAGTTCCTCCTCGGTGACATTTAGGACTGAACCAATTGCATCCAAGTTGGACGTTTTCCAAAATACGAGTCTCCTTTTCTCTCGTTCTCATAGGGGTAATGAGACAGTCTCTCAATCGGATTTATGATCAATTTCCGGTTCAGTCATTTCAAGTAAACAGGATGAACCGACCGTTGTCGTAAAATTGGCCTCCAAATTATCTGATGATCCTATTTGTGCCAAACTGGGATCATCGTACCCGGTGTGTGTTAAATTTTCAAATCCGCCGTCAGCATTATCATGCACATTGTCCGGATGATGGTGCTTGTCTTTGTCGTGACCATCGTCAAGTTGAGTGGAGTCAAATTCGCCAAATATTTGATGTTCTTCACGACATGTCACGCAGTACCATTCTTCGGTTTCTTCTCCTTCTGTGTAGTCACAATGCTGCATTCCCTCCCCATTCTTCTCGTAATGGTACCACGTACCGCAGCCGTCGCACTGAACGGCTGGTAAGTGGTCATCACCAGTGACGCCCCAGTTGCACCAAGTTTCATTTTTCTTCTTGCTTTTTGGAAGTAGGTAGAAATCCTTCGCTGGATACCGTCTCGTAAGTTCCCTGGTGCTAGTCGTTGGTTCACGTTGTATGTGAGTATTTTTACGAGACGCTTTCTCTGAGGAAGGCGCGCTTTGGGAAGCAGCACCTTCCGGTTTCATCAAATTTGGATGCTCTGATAATACAATTTCCTCGGGGTTGCGACGCCGATGAGGT